ATTCTGGGAGAGATGATGAAGCTCCTCGACCTATACTTAAGAATTTGAGTTTTCAAAATGGATTAAAGGTCTAAATGTAAGAACAGAAACTATAAAACTCCTAGAGAACATAGGCAAAACACTCTCCGACATGAATCACAGCAGGATCCTCTAGGACCCACCTCCCAAAATACTGGAAATAAAAGCAAAAATAAACAAATGGGACCTAATGAAACTTAAAAGCTTTTGCACAACAAAGGAAACGATAAGCAAGGTGAAAAGACAGCCCTCAGATTGGGAGAAAACAATAGCAAATGAAGCAACAGACAAAGGATTAATCTCAAAAATATACAAGCAACTCCTGCAGCTCAATTCCAGAAAAATAAATGATCCAATCAAAAAATGGGCCAAACCACAGCAATCAGGGCAGAAAAAAAAGTTAAAGGAATCCAGATAGGAAAAGAAGAAGTGAAACTCTCACTGTTTGCAGATGACATGATCTTCTACATAGAAAACCCTAAAGATTCTACCAGAAAATTACTAGAGCTAATCAACGAATATAGTAAAGTTGCAGGATATAAAATTAACACACAGAAATCTCTTGCATTCCTATACACTAACAATGAGAAAACAGAAAGAGAAATTAAGGAAACAATACCATTCACCATTGAAACAAAAAGAATAAAATACTTAGGAGTATATCTACCTAAAGAAACAAAAGACCTATACATAGAAAACTATAAAACACTGATGAAAGAAATCAAAGAGGACACAAACAGATGGAGAAATATACCGTGTTCATGGATTGGAAGAATCAATATTGTCAAAATGGCTATACTACCCAAAGCAATCTATAGATTCAATGCAATCCCTATCAAACTACCAACAGTATTTTTCACAGAACTAGAACAAATAATTTCACAATTTGTATGGAAATACAAAAAACCTCGAATAGCCAAAGTAATCCTGAGAAAGAAGAATGGAACTGGAGGAATCAATCTGCCTGACTTCAGACTATACTACAAAGCCACAGTCATCAAGACAGTATGGTACTGGCACAAAGACAGAAATATAGATCAATGGAACAGAATAGAAAGCCCAGAGATAAATCCACGAACCTATGGTCACCTTATCTTCGACAAAGGAGGCAAGGATATACAATGGAAAAAAGACAACCTCTTTAACAAGTGGTGCTGGGAAAACTGGTCAACCACCTGTATAAGAATGAAACTAGAACACTTTCTAACACCATACACAAAAATAAACTCAAAATGGATTAAAGATCTAAATGTAAGATCAGAAACTATAAAACTCCTAGAGGAGAACATAGGCAAAACACTCTCCGACATAAATCACAGCAGGATCCTCTATGACCCACATCCCAGAATTTTAGAAATAAAAGCAAAAATAAACAAATGGGACCTAATGAAACTTAAAAGCTTTTGCACAACAAAGGAAACTTTAAGCAAGGTGAAAAGACAGCCCTCAGATTGGGAGAATATAATAGCAAACGAAGCAACAGACAAAGGATTAATCTCAAAAATATACAAGCAACTCCTCCAGCTCAACTCCAGAAAAATAAATGACCCAATCAAAAAATGGGCCAAAGAACTAAACAGACATTTCTCCAAGGAAGACATACAGATGGCACAAAAACACATGAAAAGATGCTCAACATCACTCATTATTAGAGAAATGCAAATCAAAACCACAATGAGGTACCATTACACGCCAGTCAGGATGGCTGCTATCCAAAAGTCTACAAGCAATAAATGCTGGAGAGGGTGTGGAGAAAAGGGAACCCTCTTACACTGTTGGTGGGAATGCAAATTCATACAGCCACTTTGGAAAACAGTGTGGAGATTTCTTAAAAAGCTGGAAATAGAACTGCCATATGACCCAGCAATCCCACTTCTGGGCATACACACCGAGGAAACCAGATCTGAAAGAGACACGTGCACCCCAATGTTCATCGCAGCACTGTTTATAATAGCCAGGACATGGAAGCAACCTAGATGCCCATCAGCAGACGAATGGATGAGGAAGCTGTGGTACATATACACCATGGAATATTACTCAGCCATTAAAAAGAATGCATTTGAATCAGTTCTAATGAGATGGATGAAACTGGAGCCCATTATACAGAGTGAAGTAAGCCAGAAAGATAAAGACCATTACAGTATACTAACACATATATATGGAATTTAGAAAGATGGTAATGATAACCCTATATGCAAAACAGAAAAAGAGACTCAGATGTATAGAAGAGACTTTTGGACTCTGTGTGAGAAGGCAAGGGTGGGATGTTTCGAGAGAACAGCATCGAAACATGTATATTATCTAGGGTGAAACAGATCACCAGCCCAGGTGGGATGCATGAGACAAGTGCTCGGGCCTGGTGCACTGGGAAGACCCAGAGGGATCGGGTGAAGAGGGAGGTGGGAGGGGGGACTGGGATGGGGAATACATGTAAATCCATGGCTAATTCATTTCAATGTATGACAAAAACCACTGCAATGATGTAAAGTAATTAGCCTCCAACTAATAAAAATAAATGGAAAAAAAAAAAGAAAAAAAAAAGAATTTGAGTTTTATCAGAGAAAGCCTATGACCTGACACACATTAGGAAAGGTAGTTGAATCCTCAATGAAAAAGAAATCCTCAAGCAAACATACATGATTTTAATACACCTGTAAACTAAATTCCTTTTCATTTTATAAAAATTAAAATAAACAATTCTGTAATGAAAGTTAAGCCACAGGTAAGCAACATAAAATGTGAAGTAAAACAAGTTGATTTTTTAAATAAAGAAAGAAGACTATCTATTCCAAACAAGTACCCCCTAAAAAAAAAATGGCATGGCAATGAAGCTTGCTCATATATTTTGAAAGGTAAACACATACATGCCAGGAATAGCACTTCATTTATTTTTATATGAATAGATGTTCCCATAGTAACAAATTCAACTCCTGAATTCTTCTTTTAATTCAATGTAGTCTATCAACAAGTTCAATATTATACTGGCCAGGTTCAGTTCTGCTAATGCCAACTGAAAAGCTTGCTAAGTGCTATAGGAAGCATACTGTGCAACAAGTGATTTTCCAAATCAGAAGGCCAAAGGTGTCAAAATCAATATCCCCAAATTACTACCTCTAAAATAATTTCTAAAAATAAATCCTGGTTTAAAAAAAAAATTCACTTCTATTAGAGAGGACAGAGAGGAAGGGGAGAAGCAATAACCAGAGACTTCTAATTAATGATACTTTTCTTTCATGTTTTATTATCACCCATTAACATTCCAACGTCTCCTCAAACTGAAAAACCAAGGAATTGGCTTAAATGCACATAGAACCACAGAATAAGCAACATAAATGAACAAATGAATACAGTGTCTGCCATAAAACGGGCAGCCTCTTTCAACCAAGCTCCAGCCACTTCTTGCAATGGAAAATGTAAACAATGATATCGGATTTTCTGGCTTTCAAAAGAAGTTGAAAATCTGCATTTTTATGCAAAAAATCTCCTAATTTTTAAAAACTGGCTTAAAAAAAAAAATAGCCCCAAAGCACACGCCTATAGCTGGATCTAGTCAGCTTACCTCCAGGTTGCAAACCCTGGCTTATATAAAATTTGTGTCTTTACATCATTCTAAGCTATCATCACAGACCTGTGGTGACAGAAGCCCTGACCAGGAGGGATCCAAAGGAACAGAGGCTGGAGGCATGCGTTTGCAGGGGGTCACCACTCCCTGCCACCACGCCCTGAATGAACTCCGATGACAGCGCCACCTTATTTGTGTACAAGTCTGTCTAACACCACCAGACTGGAAACCACCTCTTGTAGGCAAGACCACACCTTATTCCTCTGAGTCTCCCCAGCACTTGGCACATGAAAAGGACAAAATAAATATACTTGAATGAGTAAGTGGATGAATAAACAAACACCAAATGAATGTAATCTCTGATGTCAATCTCCCTCTAACCTTTTTTCTCCATTATGGAACTTGGTGAAATGAGTATTTCCAGTGACTCCACATTTCAAAACTGAGTTTCTCTACACCTGAGCAGAAGCAATGGCTGCTCATATTGATGGTTAAGCCAGTTTGAGGCAGACTTTCTAAATTTCCACTGCTGGATGAAAGCCAAGAAACAGATATTTGAAATCAATTTAACATTAGTTTCTTTTCTGCCATATGAGACAGAAAAGAAGTCTCAAGAGGGTAGAAAGAGTGGGGAATGTAGAAGGGAATGTCCATGCAACTATGTGATAACAGAAGATCCTGGAATTGTTGTAGACAGTTTGGTCTTTAGTGGTATTGTGGTTGTTGTTCCACTGACACTGCAGGAAGCTACTTTCTTTTTGACTGGTTGCTTCTGGGCAGGTGTCATGGCAAGTGGAGATTTGAAGGGACAGAAGTGTGCCCAGGGGAGTTGATGGGTAGGAACAGAAAGAAAAGTTCATTCCATGCTGTTTCTCTGCAAATGGGAATGTTTTCTGCCCAGGATAAAGGGAGGCTGATTTAGAGTCCCAGGCAGTATTTGTCATTTGTCAACCAGGCACTATTTTTACTCTTCTTTCTCTCTTTTCCTTAGGCACACTGTTCTGTAGGCTTTGGATTCTATAAACATTTCCTTCAATATAGTCCCTGTAACAAAAATCTATACTCTGTACCTATGTACATCGAATTTATATTTCTGGGTAACTTTTAGAGAACAACTCAGTGGACACTTACAGTTTAATTATCACCAAACAAGTATGAACCACAAATAAGCTTTCTACCATTTGCGGACTTTGGCAATGCCAAATGTATGGACTTCGTTTAACCACTGCAGAAGTCTTAAATTATCTGCGGTTGGGTCCATGAGTTGACAACTATGAATAATGTTCCAAGGATGATGTAAGAAAATATTTGAAACAGGAACAGCTTGGGAAATCCATGATGCCAAAGTAAGCAGGTAGGTGTATAAAGAAGAGAAGTTTTAGAGCCTGGTTCTAAGCATAAAACACAGAAACAGGCTTACCAGAATAGACGGCAGGGCTTGCTGAAGACTTGAACTTTGAGTGTTCCAAACTCGGTCTTCACTTTGGGGAAGTAAAACCCCTCTCACTAAAGAAAGAATAACATTAAAGAAATTTTTAGTTGAGACACTACTATGTTTAAGGTTCAGAGACAATTAAAAACCAAGTTCTTCCTTTTTATAAGCTTAGATTTGGGTAGAACAAATGGAAAGATCTTGCCTAGAAAACGCTTGATACTTTATTCAAATGTTTTACTTATATTAGCACCATCTATCTAAATTATAAGACTCCAACATAAATATTCTTCCCATTGTTACATTTTGAACACCCTTATTTTCTTTCCTTTCTCAAGGATTTTTTACTCTTTTCAAGATTCCCATGAAGTAACTGTTCTAAAATTGATTTTTTTTAATTTTAATAAGAAAGTTGAATCGAAATTCCAATTCATTTGGGTGATGCCAAAAATGGAGAAAATTATGCAAAACTATTTCCTTTTTGGCAGCAAAACTATTTCCTTTTTGGCAGAAACTACCTTTGAAAAACAGGGTAAGACACCGGAGAGTTTATCACTATACCAATACCTATACTAAAGAGTCACAAAGTTAAGAGAGTAGATTATAAAATTCAACTCAGTAAGATTTACTGTATCCTCACTAGTTACTATAGACTTTGATGATATTGAGGCTATAAATATTAATAAAGCCAAGTTTCTTTTGTGGAAGTGTTCCCTATGTCAGAGAGATAAATAAAACAATATGAGGAGCATTTATATAATGTATGTGAACACAGACAAAAAATAGAATGATTTTTCCTGGAGGAGAGAGGGAATCAATAAAAATTAAAAAGAAGGGGTTGTGAGAAAGGTGATCTGGTGTATACACCAAAAAGAGAAGCCAAATCTCTCTGTATTTACCTACTGCACTGACACCTGGGTCGGGAAGATCCTGCGGAGAAGGAAATGGCACCCCACTCCAGGACCTTTGCCTGGAAAATCCCATGGACCAAGGAGCCTGGTAGGCTATAGTCTATGGGGTCGCAAAGAGTCGGACATGACTGAGCAACTTCACTTTCACTTTTCACTGCACTGACATAAAGGGATCAATCAAAAATCAAACTTTATTTTTGGAAAATAAGTACTTTCCGAAACTTTTTCTCGACTGTGTGTTCAGTTAACTTATCTTCTATGGAAAACCAGTAGCACGAAATCAAAGATGAATATATCTTTTCATGATGGTCAAGTTACCTAGGAAGCTGCAGCCATTCAGAACTCTGAAGCTGCGTGACAACAGAAATGGATTTTAGGAACAAAATTCTGAGCAATGGAAATGTACACCTACTGAAAGGCAAAGCACCTGAACTAGTTTGTGCTGGAAATCCTAAAGCTTTTGTTAAACTTGCTGAGAGTTACTGATCTCTTTCTAGGACACCTTCTAGGAGGTAGCTCCACACAAGGCTCCACATAAAAATAAGACCTCACTATGCTGTTTGTAGGCTGCTGTCCATGGGGTCGCTAAGAGCTGGACACGACTGAGCGACTTCACTTTCACTTTTCACTTTCATGCACTGGAGAAGGAAATGGCAACCCACTCCAGTGTTCTTGCCTGGAGAATCCCAGGGACGGGGGAGCCTGGTGGGCTGCCGTCTATGGGGTCGCACAGAGTCGGACACAACTGAAGCGATTTAGCAGCATCAGCAGCATGCTGTTTATGGATTTAGTTTTCTAAACAGCCTCATTTTGCCTATTGCATATCTTAATCCTCATGCCATTCATTCACCAGAAACCCCTGATTAGCCTACCTGAATTAGGTGCATGGCTAATAGTCATTAGCTTAGTGACTATGAACTAAAACAGGGAAAGAAAAATATGAACTATGGAAATAAAGCTAAAGCACCGTTAACATCAGGATGGTTTCTATCTGATGCAGCCTAGAGGGTGCTAAGAACAATATATATATATGGGGAATTTCGTTTTACGAGAATATACTGGAAAAGAAACTAAAACTATACAAAGACTTAATGGTTATACAACTTACCTTTGATAAGCTGAAGGGAGTCAGGATCTGGATTCAAAGAAGAGCTCCCCAGCAAAAAATTCTGGTGCAGTGTCTCAGCAATGTAATCTCTGAAGTTACTGATTGTATAAACAGCGGTGGGCTTATCATCCAATTCTACAAGACCATGGTTTTCCACCTTGTTGGAATGCAGGCTAATTAGGTCCCAGGTGGTATTGCTGATAGCCTCCCCATTGAAGGTAACCGCATAGTGAACATCTATGCCACTGTGGATGACAAGAGAAACAGATTAGGGCCTGCCAAGGAAACACAAAGAAAGGAACTCTGGAGCCTCAGAGAGCAAACGTTAGACCTAGAGGGAGAGTCTCAAAAGGCAAGGATCCCATCAGCTTTCTCTGTAGACTCTGGATGGCAACATTTAGCCACCCCCTTCTCCTTCCAGAAAACAGAGAGGTTATAACTCTAAGAACTTGGAGGCCACAGAGTCAGCCTGCATAATACCTGAGCATCTTCTTCCCCCATGTTCTCACCCCTTCAAAGTCAACTGTTCCTTTTCACTCTCAGCCAGCTACCTTCTTTCCCTGTTAGGGTTTCTCCTCCCTGATTTAAAGAAACCAAACCAAACCTTCTAACTCCATCCAACAATGGGAAATCCTCTCGTATGTCATTACTGTTGCTGGGTGATTTATGCACTCCACAATGGGGAGCGAGACAGAAAAGCAGCTTAACGACTATGAACTGAAACAGTCATCTATTGTGAAAGGAGAATATGAACTATTTGGAAATACAGCTAATTGATGACTTGTGACTCTTTTTTTTAAATATCATGCTAGAATATCTTCTAATATGACAGCTATCTAAGTCTCTTGTTTGACAGCCCAGACAATTTACAGTCCCATAAAGTTTAATAGTGAATTATAAAAAACTTACTAAGAAGTGATGGTTTTTTGGCCTAGTAGGAATGATAACTCTAAAGTTTATGACTTTACTTGCCTGTAGGACATTTAGCAAACTAGTTAATTCAGCTAACAAATTATTTGTATCTAATTTGGCGGGGCTTCCCTGGTGGCTCAGTGGTAAAGAATCTGCCTGCCAATGCAAGAGACACAGGTTTGATCCCTGGGTTGAGAAGATCCTCTGGAGAAGGAAATGGCTACCCACTCTAGTATTCTTGCCTGAGAAACAAGGATAGAGGAGCCTGGCAGGCTACAGTCCATGGGGTCAAAAACAGCTGTATACAACTTGGTGACTAAATAGCAACCTCTAAATAGCAATCCCTTCCCAATTAACTATATATATTTCTTCCAAATGCTTTAGAAACTAGCTCTCATTTTTCTGCTGGCTCCCTCATTAATGAGTTGGATAAAATTTTGACAAGTGTTAATAAGTAACTTTGTCTGGGAATGTGGCCTTTTCACCATCTTTCCACAGGCAAACAAAGAGATGATTTCTTGGAATAAAGGATAAAGTGAAAATAAATAAGTAGGAACTGATACGGCATTTGACATTTTCTTAAATAATCATTTTGAAGAAACATCAGAATATAAGATTTTTAAACCAACAGAACTACACCTTCTAGACCAACTCAGACTTATCCAACAGCTAAAAACTAACATTTTTGTAAGTGCTTACAATGACAGGTTATTTCCCAGGCTTTGTCTGATTTAATACTCATAACAAACATGAAGGTTTTATTACCTTCAGATTATTGTTAAGAAACTATGCTTTAAAGAAGTTAAAAGACTTGCCTATAATTTCACAATATGTAAAGGGGTAGAAGTCAAAATTCAAACACACATGTGCCTGACTCTGGCACCAGCATTCTGAATGAGTACATGACGCTCAGGAACTTTAAACTATTAACAGAAAAAAAGTCATCAGGAGAACAGCTTTGCTCTACTCATCACCCTCGCTTCCAGCCGGTCTGTGAGACACAGCCATCAAAACAATACCCAACAAGAAAACCGTACTCCTCCAGAGGAAACGAGAGCACCACCCTCTCAAAGCTGAACCTCTGAAGGCAGACGTGCACGGAAACGACCTGCCACCTTCAGACATTCTGTAGGAGCAAAATGATGCCCAAACCAAAGCACTCAAATGAATGAAGCATTTCCTCTTCTGAGCTCACTTATATATTCCTTGATGATAGACTGTGCTGTTTCGTAGAAAGATTTTGTTTATACTGAATGCCTTGCAGTCTGTCCTTGAGTTTCTATCTCCAATGTCTGACTTGGTACCTGGCATTCAATGCCTAGTAAATTAACAGAAATCTATACTTGCCTGAATATAGAGAGAAAACTCCAGCCTTAATTAAGGTATTCACGTATCTTTAGAATAAAAAACTGTCAGGATAATGAGAGGGGTCTCATGGAGTCTAGAATAAGGGCTATTTAACTAATTTATCCTACTATGAGTGAAAAGCCTGCATTGTGGCTTCCTTATAACACAGAACCCTAGATTGGAGATAGCTACAATAGGCTAGCATGACTTTGATACTGGCCATTAGGATCACCCAACTTCCCTTCTCTGATCTCAAGCTGGCAAAAGGAACTTTCAATCATAATTCCCTACAGATTGTCCTATGGGGAAAGAAAGCATGAGCTAAGCCAATGCAATAATTAGTCAGCTGGCAGATACATTTCTTGATTTAAATAAATCGCTCAGCATCCTACAGAATGCACAATATTTTGTAGTTTGGTAAGCATAAATTGGTCTTAAGAGACCTCTTCTTCCTGGGAACGCTGGCAGTTCTGGACATGCCCTGGGTCTAAGGGGATGTCACGAAGGTGTTACCCCTCGCCTATCACAGAAGCGGTGAGGTACAATGTTCCTAATCCACTCTGAGTGTCATCAATAAGGTTTTCCTCCCCAATCTGATAAACTGTCACTTCTGATGGTGTGGTTTAGGGAACCTTACAGTGGTAACCGAGCATCTCAACACTTGGATGCCTTGCTGAGAGATGAGACATCTGCTTGCCGTCTGTAAATTCCCTCAATCCCTTAATTTTTCCTGTCAGAACATGTTGATTCATGAGTAACTGCTGATCTCCTTTTGTAAAGAAATAAATTCAGTAGAATATGGTGAGGGAAAAAAAAAAAAAAAAAAGATGGCCCCAATGTGAAATTAAACAGTAAGAGGGACACCTACTGGTCAGAACTCACCACACCACGTACATCCTAAACATCCCTCACAATGCCTCGCTCCTAGTAGTTCAATAAATATTTTTGAAAATAATGAAAAAACAAATGGTTAGTTTTATTCACTAATGCAGGCAGATACAACCATTGACTCTGTGACACTTAGATGACAGTATGTGATATTCCCGACTTAATCAGAAGGGTGTTCAGTCTCGATATATGCAGGTGGAGCAGTGGTAAACAAGCTGCCTGCCGATGCAGGAGATTAAGTTTGATCCCAGGGTCAGGAAAAGCCATTGGAGTAGGAAATGGCAACCCACTCCAGTATTCTTGCCTGGAAACTTTCATGGACAGAGGAGCCTGGCCGGCTACCGTCCATGGGGTTGCAAAGAGTCAGATGAAACAGCGTACACACATTTTCACCCTAAAGAGCATGCATATGAACCTCATACATTTCTGTCTTCTGAGGAATCATTGTATGGACACTGCTTCACAGGCAGAACATAACTCTGTGAGGACTGCATGCTCTTTACAAGCTCTGCAGGATGGCACATGCCTGCATCTCCAGAAAGGTGAGCTTCTCCCTGGGATCTATGTCCAACCTAGTAACATGTTAACATGGGGCTTCCCTGGTAGCTCAGACGGTAAAGTGTCTGCCTACAATGCGGGAGACCTGGGTTCGATCCTTGGGTCAGGAAGATTCCCCTGGAGAAAGAAATAGCAACCCACTCCAGTATTCATGCCTGGAAAATCCCATGGACCAAGGGGCCTGGGGGCTACGGTCCATGGGGTCGCAAAGATTCGGACATGACTGAGCGACTTCGCTTCACTTAAGACAGGAAGCAGGGATAAGGGGAAATACTGGAGGAGAGGAAATGGCTGTGCCAGTTAGCACTCCAGTTGCTTCCTGGACTTGACAGAAAATCAGACAAGGAGAGTCAAGCTTTTACTGAGAGTCTCTCATGTGCGTTGCATGCCTTTCAACATCACAGGGAGAAGATTAAGAGAAATGTTTCTGGATCAAGAAATCTGTGCGAACAGGCAGTCTGGGTTAGATTAGTGGCCTTACTCTTTACTGGCAAAATATAATTTTTCTCCCAATGTTTTCCTTGGACGTCTAAAAATAACACTTCTAATATCATCTACCTTGTCTGGTAAAGATATATTCATTAAAGAAGATAAAATGCCTCACAGAGATACTTCAATTCATTACAAAGTTTCTGTCCTAGAAAGAGAACTCAAAGAAATGCTTGAGGAATCAGAAAGTCATCTATTTTCAGATTCGAGAACGTCAGCGTGACCCAGAAGAGACTTAGTTCTGGCATGGTAAATGCAATACAGAGACACCTCAGGATGAAGAGCAGAATAAAAACAAGGCAAGAGAACAAGGAAGTACATAAGATGCAGGATGCACGCTGAGGACACAGCATTATTTGATTGAAGAAAGCTGTGCTGCCTTTCTGCACTCAACAACGCCAAATTAACCAACCATCACTACAGCATCATCTTTCACCTTCTAAACTGCTGCTGCTGCTAAGTCGCTTCAGTCGTGTCCGACTCTGCGCGACCCCATAGACGGCAGCCCACCAGGCTCCCCCATCCCTGGGATTCTCCAGGCAAGAACACTGGAGTGGGTTGCCATTTCCTTCTCCAATGCTTGAAAGTGAAAAGTGAAAGTGAAGCCGCTCAGTCATGTCCAGAGACCCCATGGACTGTAGCCTACCAGGCTCCTCCATCCACGGGATTTTCCAGGCAAGAGGACCGGAGTGGGTTGCCATTGCCTTCTCCGACCTTCTAAACTACACTGAAACAACTGCTATATAGAGGAGAGTATCTCTGACTGCTATTTCCAAAGACATCAATCATGTGGAGGGGAAATTTATTCCTCACTTCAAATGCCCTCATTGGCTGTCTGACATCTGCAAGTTTTAAATAGAAAAAATAATGATATTGTATCTCATGACGATCAATCAAACTAGAGGTTATTTCAAGAAACTCAGATATCTCTTCTCTCACACTTCTATTAGGAAGAAAGTGCATACTAACAAGGCCTGGAGTTGAATTTTTGAAGTGTGGACACCAGGCAGATATTTTGTTGACTCACTCCAAATGGGTCCTACTAACTTAAAATAATGTGTGCAACTTGAAAGAGGTGCAAAGCAAACAGAAAACTTCATGTGTATAGAAATACTTATGTAGAGAGAGAGGTTATATATATAATACATACACTATTTCTGGGCTACACATTCACTTATACACAGCTCAAAATAAAAGTATACCAAAAAGTTATGAATAAACTCCACCAAGTGGTTAATATCTAACAATACTGAACAGTTTTGGAAACGGTACTTAGGTTAACAATTCTATCATAAAATCTAATGGCTTCATATTGAATTGTTGTCTGTGTCCCCATAGAAAACTCAGCACTCAGCAACTGAGAACCATTCTTTGACCAGGGGGTTCACACCAGAATTCAGTTATGTTTTAACAGTCTAGTCTTCCCAGTTCAGTTCAGCACAGTCACTCAGTCATGTCCGACTCTTTGCGACCCCATGGACTGCATGCAGCACTCCAGGCCTCTCTGTCCATCACCAACTCCTGGAGTTTACTCAAACTCATGTCCACTGAGCCGGTGATGCCATCCAACCATCTCATCCTCTGTCATCCTCTTCTCCTCCCACCTTCAATCTTTCCCAGCATCAGGGTCTTTTCCAATGAGTCAGCTCTTCACATCAGGTGGCCAAAGTATTGGAGTTTCAGCTTCAGCATCAATCCTTCCAATGAATATTCAGGACTGATTTCCTTTAGTATGCACTGGTTGAATCTCCTTGCAGTCCAAGGGACTCTTAAGAGTCTTCTCCAACATCACAGTTCAAAAGCATCAATTCTTCGGTGCTCAACTTTCTTTATAGTCCAACTCTCACAGCCATACATGACTACTGGAAAAACCACAGCTTTGACTAGACCTTTGTTGGCAAAGTAATGTCTCTGCTTTTTAATATGCTGTCTAGGTTGGTCATAAATTTTCTTCCAAGAAGCAAGCCTCTGAATTTCATGGCTGCAGTCACCATGTGCAGTGATTTTGGAGCCGCCCAAAATAAAGACTGTCACTGTTTCCCCATCTATTTGCCATGAAGTGATGGGACCAGATGCATGATCTTCATTTTCTGAATGTTGAATTTTAAGCCAACTTCTTCCCTCTCCTCTTTCACTTTCATCAAGAGGCTCTTTAGTTCTTCTTCACATTCTGCCATAAGGGTGGTATCATCTGCGTATCTGAGGTTATTGACATTTCTCCCAGCAATCTTGATTCCAGCTTGTGCTTCATCCAGCCCAGCGTTTCTCATGATGTACTCTGCATATAAGTTAAATAAGCAGGGTGACAATATACAGCCTTGACATACTCCTTTCCCAATTTGGAACCAGCCTGTTGTTCCATTACAGTTTTAACTGTTGCTTCCTGACCTGAGTACAGATTTCTCAGGAGGCAGGTCAGGTGGTCTGGTATTCCCACCTCTTTAAGAATTTTCCAGTTTGTTGTGATCCACACTGTCAAAGGCTTTGGCATAGTCAATAAATTACATGTTTTTCTGGAACTCTCTTGCTTTTTTTGATGATCCAGAGGATGTTGGCAATTTGATCTCTGGTTCATCTGCCTTTTCTAAATCCAGCATGAGCATCTGGAAGTTTACAGTTCATGTACTGTTGAAGCCTGGCTTGAAGAATTTTGAGCATCACTTTGCTAGCAAGTGAGATGAGTGCAATTGTGCGGTGGTTTGAGCATTCTTTGGCATTGCCTTTCTTTGGGATTGGAGTGAAAACTGACCTTTTTCAGTCCTATGGCCACCGCTGAGTTTTCCAAATTTGCTGGCATATTGAGTGCAGCACTTTCACAGTATCATCTTTTAGGATACTTAGGAAATACTTGCTAAAATAATATAAACAAAAATGAGGAAGTCAGAAAGCCCTTTGCAAATGTAAGATATTATATTTGTATCTAATATGTGGTGGTGGTTTAGTCACTAAATTGTGTCCAACTCTTTGCAACCACATGGACTGTAGCCCACCAGGCTCCTCTGTCCATGGGATTTCCCAGGCAGGAACACTGGAGTGGATTGCCATTTCCTTCTCCAAGGAATCTTCTTGACCCAGGGATTGAATCTGTCTCCTGCATTGCAGGCAGATTCTTTACCGACTGAGATACCAGGGAAGCCCCTGATCTTATATAAATGAAGGCAAAATGACATGGATTGACCTGGAGGTACTACACTGAGTTAAATAAGTGAGACAGAGAAAGATAAATACTCTGTTATCACTTATATGTGGAATCTAAAAAATTAAATAAACGAATGAACAAAACGGAAACAGACTCACAGATATATAGAACAAACTAGTGGACACTGGTGGGAAGAGGAAAGGGGGGAGGGGCAAGACAGAAGTAGAGGATTAAGGGATACAAACTACTGTATAGCACAGAGAATATAGCTAATATTTCATAATAAGTTCAAATCGAATAAAATCTATAAAACACTGAATCACTATGTTCCACATCTGAAGCTAACACTGTAAATTAATTCTACTTCAATATAAAGATTAAATTTTTTTTAAAAAATTAAATGAAGAAATGTTTTATCTCTAAACATCCCTGTGCTTAGCCTATGAATTTGCTTCATATATTCCATATTATGATTATTTATCTTTCAAGAGAAAGTAAATTTTAAACAAACTTGAATTCAAAGACAAAAAGACAAGCAACTTTCACAAAGGGGACTGACTATGCTTTTAAGAAACTCCAGAGAGCAGCTGTTTTCACAAATGAACTGTGACAGAAATCAGCTTTCTTCTTTTCATTTACCACTTAAAAATTACACTTGATTACTCAATGACAACAGCATACTAGAAAGTGCTTTATGAATGCCAATTTTTATACTAATTTTATTTATTTATTTTTATTTTATTTTTTATACTAATTTTAAATTAAGCATAACTTAGTATTTTAAAGTATTTGACAAGGGCTAATTATACACCACAGGGAATAGAGGCAATATTTTATCATAACTAAAAATGCAGTGTAAATGTAATCTTTAAAAATTATGAATCACTATGTAGTACACCTGAAACATACATAGTATTATAAATCAACTATACCTCAAAAAAATAAAAGTTTTAAAATAAAAATTAAGAGATTAAAAAATACAAGTACTTGTCAGTCAACAGTCTATGATAGAAGTCCGTAAACTATAGCTTATGAGCTAACTCCAGCCCACTGTCCATGAATTAATGGGTCTTATATTTTTAAATGCTTGGAAAAACTCAAAATAACAATATTTTGTGACATGTGAACACCATATGAAAATGACATATTGGGATCTATAAATAAGTTTTATTGGAACACATCCATGGCTGATTCATATCAATGTATGGCAAAAACCACTACAATATTGTAAAGTAATTAGCCTCCAACTAATAAAAATAAATGAAAAAAAAAGAAAAAGAAAAAGAAAAGAAATTGGACAGTGATACTGGAAGTAATAAAAGGACTGAGCCATGTTCGCTTGGACCTAGGGCTACCATATTTTCTAAACTACTTCCTAATTAGGTCAACAGTACAGAAAGTGTCAAAAGGTACTCTACCTGCCGTTTTCCTTAGGGGACCTGAAAATAAAAATCAAGAAGTGTTAAGCAGAGTTTAAGCAAGTTAAAACTGTCATATAATTAATCAAAAGTACAAGCTCTTAATGTATTTCCTCTGAAATGTTTCTTCAAATGAAAATGCCTGTATACTACTAGATAATGACAAATACCTGTACAATGAAGGAAGAAAGCAAAGGTGAAGAAAGTATTCTATTTTAAAATCTATAATCTTTAGTGTCTTTAAACTTCCTAAAAATACTTTTAAACAATTAATACGTGGTTATCACTTTATAAATAAACTTTTTTCAGTAGATGAGCAGAGAACTCCAGCTGTTGGCATTAACAAAATTGGTAACATTTTTGAGGGGATACAATGTTAAATGTTATGTGTTATATATACAATGTTACAACAGCAATGTTAAGTGGCATTAAAATTAATGAAAAGAAAATCAGACAACATATAGTAAGATTCCAAGGAGGTGGGAAAGGTCCAAATTGACTAACCTATAGGACATTGCATAGTCTTTGATATATTTGATTTTCTGTATCAGACACTTAAATGGACTTTCCAAATGTCAAGAACTACACTATGCATTTTACAAAAATTACTTATTTTAACCTTCATGGAAATTCATTAAGGACCATGAATATCCCCATTTACAGGTAAAGAAACTGAGGAACAAAATCACTAAATAATTTACCCAAAGTATTTCAAAAGTATTTTTAAATAAAGCATGATTCATACAATATTGTATATATTACCTTTTCTTATATAAATGAGAAGTTAAAGCTTGTTAATTTACCCAAAACCATCCAAGCAGAAGTGCCAAAGGCAGGATTTAAACCGAGGCAAGTTGATCCCAAAGGTCATGTTGTCTTCCATACGCTGTCAAATGAGAAAGGACCTCAAAAGCCTCAGTTTCTCACGGGAGCTTTAGTGACAACTGGAGACAGTATTCCTGCCAAGGGCCATGGCTGAGCTAGGGAGACAGGTCGCGCCATGAGAGGGGATGGAGGGTCCGTGTACCACGCTTGCCCTTGCCCCTGCATCAATAACCAGCTGAGATCCTTAGAAAAAGTACATGCATTTCCTGTGCTCTGATTTCCTTACCAGGAAAAAAAATGAGGATAATAGTAACTATCTCACAGTATGGCTGTTGGGATGAAATGAGTTAATACGGACAGAAGGCCTGGCACACTATAAATGTTACGTAAGTGCTTGCTGTTATTTCTGGAAAACTGAGAAGTTGCGACAAGGTTATGCCAAAGTTAAGATGCGGACACTGTCAATTAAGCCCATGCTCCCCTGCATCTAATAGCTGGGCCACAGTCACCATCCACATGCTCCAAAGCTTCAGAGAACTCAGTCTAGCACTGGAGGTTAAGAGCCAGAGATATAAAGATAGCCACTTTGTTTCAAAATCTCTCTTCTGCTCTCTGACCTTGGGCTAATACTGCACCCTTCTAAACCTATTTGTTTTTCTGCAAAATAAGTATTAATAGCAATAGTTTTCCTAAAAGGGTTGAAGATTATGTGAACCCAGGAATGTAAAGTGGCCAATACAAAGTATTCACTGAATAAAATGTGCACAAGTATGATGCTGCAGGTTTTAGGCAAGGAAGCAACATCCTAAAAAGAGGTGTCCGATTTACCCTGAATTGCTATGCTGATAAACACATCCCCTCCAGAATGACTATACATCAAGACATCACAGGGACCTCACTGGAGCACTGATGAGCCTTTAGGAGCACAGTAGATCACATCTAACCTTACTCCAGGCTCCCCTCAGTGCCAAATAAAAACATGTAACTTCTCAGCAGCATACATGAATTCCTAAGTTCTTACCCTGGCCCAACTCAGATCTAGTACATCTCCTTGAATGTATTATTTTGCCTTTTTTAACTCTGTTTCCTCATCTGAAAAACCAGCATTAGGAATAAGGATTTAACAAAAGAACACCAAATTACAGAATTCACATCACTTTCTAATCACTGTTGTTAAGAGTACATACAATAAACACAAAAGGATAATCCATTTGAAATAAAGACTGCTACAAAACCTATGCATTTTTAAAGTCCATTTACCTAAAGTCAAGTACACGAATGTCCTTGTAGCCTGGTAACCCAGTAAATGCATTTTCCACCTGTCAAAAATAAAAAATTTGTAACTATGTAGAAATGTAAAAAAGCACACACAAAAATGCTTTTAAGAGTAGAATATAAAGTGCACTGTTTATTAGAAACTTATACACATACATGGATATACATGGATTAGAAAGCTAAGAAAATTCTAATTGTCACAGTGTTAGAAAATAGTTTTTACCACAACCCTGCCATATTTTTTTTTGTTTTTTAAGGTTTTGATTTACTTGAATATTAATTTTTTCCAAATTATAAAAAACATACTTTTATTGACAAAACACTGTTTTTTCCCTTATGTGATAAAATGTGAAAAAAAAAAAGGACTAGTTTCAAAAGAAACTGTAATAACATTTTAAAATGTAACTGTATGGATTAGAAATCTGGCCGCAGCACACACACTGATACACAGTCAAGTGTTCATTTCCTGTAAGTGTAAAATGTCTGGGGGCATCTGTTTCCTGTTCCTATGACACAAAGGACTGTGAACACAGCCAACATAAGAAAGAAATGTGCACACCTGGGCTTAGGCTTTGCTGACTGGTGGTCATGGAGGAGATTATAAGGGGTGACTGGTCGAAAGATCAATTTACGAGCAGCACAACTGCAGAAACCAGTTATATCACCAACTTTCTAAAATCAGGCTACATAAACCAGTACGAGCTTAGTGACTAAAGCAGGGGGAAGTGATAGATTGGACTAAACACCAAAAAATATGAGGTTTTGTACAAACACACATTTAACAATATCGAACATTTTACCCACAACACTTCAGAAGATGAGTCTCACCAGGTTAAGTCACTATGGGGCCAACACCAGAACAAGAGAAATTATTAGTGGACTTTGGGGGTATTTGCCAGCAAATTTGGAAAACTCAGCAGTGGCCACAGGACTGGAAAAGGTCAGCTTTCATTCCAATCCCAAAGAAAAACAATACTAAAGAATGCTCAAACTACTGCACAATGCACTCATCTCACATGCTAGCAAAGTAACACTCAAAATTCTCCAAGCCAGGCTTCCACAGTACATGAACTATGAACTTCCAGATGTTCAAGCTGGATTTAGAAAAGGCAGAGAAAAAAAAAAAAGAAAAGGCAGAGGAACCAGAGATCAAATTGCCAACATCCGCTGGATCATTGAAAAAGCAAGAGAGTTCCAGAAAACCATCTATTTCTGCTTTATTGACTATGCCAAAGCCTTTGACAGTGTGGATCACAACAAACTGGAAAATTCTTAAACAGTTTGGAATACCAGACCACCTGACCTGCTTCTTGAGAAATCTGTACTCAGGTCAGGAAGCAACAGTTAGAACTGTATATGGAACAACAGACTGGTTCCAAATTGGGAAAAGAGTACATCAAGGCTATATATTGTCACCCTGCTTATTTAACTTATATGCAGAGTACATCATGAGAAACACTGGGCTGGATGAAGCACAAGCTGGAATCAAGATTGCTGGGAGAAATATCAATAACCTCAGATATGCAGATGACACCACCCTTATGGGAGAAAGCAAGGAGGAACTAAAGAGCCTCTTGATGAAAGTGAAAGAGGAGAGTGAAAAAGCTGGCTTAAAACTCAACATTCAGAAAACAAAGATCATGGCATCTGGTCATATCACTTCATATCAAATAGATGGGAAACAATGGAAACAATGACAGACTTTATTTTCTTGGGCTCCAAACTCACCCATGATATTCAAAGATGCTTGCTCCTTGGAAGAAAAGTTATGACCAACCTAGACAGCATATTAAAAAGCAGAGATATTACTTTGCCAACAAAGGTCTGTCTAGCCAAAGCTATGGTTTTTCCAGTAGTCATGTATGGATGTGAGAGTTGGACTATAAAGAAAGCTGAGTGCCAAAGAATTGATGCTTTTGAACTGTGGTGTTAGAGAAGACTCAAGACTCCCTTGGACTACAAGGAGATCCAACCAGCCCATCCTAAAGGAAATCAGTCCTGAACATTCATTGGAAGGACTGATGTTGAAGGTGAAACTCCAACTCTTTGGCCACCTGAAGTGAAGAACAGACTCACTAGAAAATAACCTGATGCTGGGAAAGATTGAAGGTGGGAGGAGAAGGGGATAACAGAGGATGAGATGGTTGGATGGCATCACCGACTCAATGGACATAAATTTGAGTAATCTTCAGGAGTTGGTGATGGACAGGGAGGCCTGGCATGCTCTAGTCCATGGGATCGCAAAGAGTTGGACATGATTGAGTGACTGAACGGAACTGAACTGGAGCTATCTCTGGGCATCTGCTTTTAAAACCAAGTTCTCACAAAATCAGGAGAATGAGATTTTTTTTTTAAATCTTGGTTCACCAAAAATCTTTCTGCCCCATGGATAAAGAATCCAAACCCGCGAAATTTTCTGGCTGCAATAACTCACCTTGTTTTATTGAGAGAAACCAGAGAAGTGCTAATTCTTGGAGGATGGGGATAAAGTCCACAGACTAGGAATGCAAAGACTCAGGGTTAGTCTTAGCTATTTTTCACTGGTAGAGTGGCCAGGCACACGTCTTCTTTCATAATACTTACTGCTTCCCTGCCCACTGGCACACCAGTTCTTAAGATTAAGATGAGCATAGCTACAAGTACTCCATTAGCTGCAAAATGCAGTGTTATTGCATGTTATTATTAATACTAAACCCATCTTACTCCTTGGAAGGAAAACTATGACAAACCTAGACAGCATATTAAAAGAAGAGACATCAGTTTGCCAACAAAGGTCTGTATACTCAAAGCTATGGTTTTTCCAGTAGTCATGTACAGATGTGAGAACTGGACCACAAAGAAGGCTGAGCACCAAAGAATTGATGCTTTCAAAATGTGGTGCTGAAGAGAACTCTTGAGAGTCCCTTGGGCTGCAAGGAGATCAAACTAGTCAATCCTAAAGGAAATCAGTCCTGAATATTCATTGGAAGGACTGAAGCTGAAGTTGAACCTCTAATACATTGGCCACCTGATGCAAAGAGCTTACTCACTGGAAAAGACCCGGATGCTGAGAAAGATTGAAGGCAAAAGGAGAAGAGTCTGGCAGCGGATGAGATGATGTGATGGCATCAATGACTCAATGGACATGAATTTGAGCAAACTCTGGGAGACAGTGAAGGACAGAGGAACTTGGGTGCCCTTGGGGTTGCAAAGAGTCGGACATGACTTAGTGATTAAACAACAACAACAACAAACCCATCTCATCTGGGGCTTTGCCATTTTTTAACTTTAAACACGTTTTCTAATTCATCACACCCAGTTAGCTACTACATAGGTACCCAGCTGTAAGAAGTCATTCCACTTTAGCAACAAGATTAATAACAGGTACAATTTACTGAGTGACTGCTATGTGCCTGGTGCTTTGAAATATTACTTCCAATCCTTGCAACAATCCCAAACATACATAGTTTCCCCATCATGCAATTGAGGAAACCAAGACTGAGATATCAACTGATTTGCCCAGGATCACCCATCTGGTGAGTGACTGAATCAGAATTCATTCAATCAGCAGTCTTTCTAACACTGAGGCCCATACTCTTCTCACTGATCGCATGCCTCATCCTCTTTCCTTTGATAAATATGATTTTATAACTGGGACCAGGACTGGGGGACTGTGAGGCTCACCACAGCTTCTCACCTGAATTAAAATGAGGGGGACACAAGGCTTCCCTAGTGGTTCACTGGTAAAGACTCCATCTGCCAATAAAGGAGACATGGGTTCGATCCCTGATCCGGGAAGGTCTCACATGCCATGGAGCAATGAGCCCAGGCACCGCCACTGAGCCTGCCTTCTGAAGCCCAGAAGCTGCCACTACTGAGGCCGCAGACCCTAGAGCCCGTGCTCCGCAACAAGGAAAGTCACTGCAGTGAGAAGCCCACCCACCACAATTAGGAGGAGCACCTGCTCACCGCAACCAGAGAGGTCTGTGAGGCAACCAAGACCCAGCATGGCCAAAAATGAATACATGAATAAAATTATAAAAAAAAATGGAAGGGGACTCTGTATGATATAAAGGAAAGAACAGTTTCAAAGGAAGGAGCAGACCTGATTTTCCCTCCCACTCCTAGAAGGTGAAATCACCATGAACAAGTTGCTAGCCCTGATAGGTTTCATCTGTAAAATGGAGCTGATTATCCCCGTCTGCTAGCAGACGGACACACAGCAGCCTGCAGAACACAAAGCACTATGCGAGGACAGTGTGCTGATCCTGTGGCTGTCGTCAGGTAGCCACACTCCACAGCCTATCACAGTGACCTTTCCCTCTCTGATGTCACTCTTGGTGGCACCCCAAGTTTATCTTCATCAGCTCATTAAAAAAAAAAAAATGTAACAGCTCCTGAATCTCAACCCTCCCAAGCAGGCTTTCTTTTTCCCTGTGTATCTTCCAGTATTACCTGAAAAAATAATACTGAAAGAACAATTCCCATGACTGTGTCCTGAAGGAAGAGAGCTTGACGGTCTCCTTCAGTTTGCAGTAAACGTGGAGACAGGACATTTCAGAGACATGACCCCGACTCTGCAGCTCCACACAGGGAAGTGGCTATTGGTAGACATTTCGTTCCATGTAAAAGGACACGTACGTAGAAATAGGCCAGAGAAGCAACTGATCCCTCATCACCCTCAAATCACCTTGAGCCAATAGCTACCTACCTCATAAAGTCCCTGCTGGAAATGTTTTTCAGAGTGTTTATTAGACTTTGTCTAAATATGCAGTCGTTTAGCACAACTGTTTATCCAAACATGGAGGTTTATTAAAGGCTCCTTAATCCAAGAGCAGAGAGAACCAAAGAGCCGATCCAAGACACTGTCTGATGCCAAGTGGCCACTGGCCTGGCTGACATTTCGTCCACATACCATATAGCCTCACAAATTGGCCACACAGCTAGGAAAATTAATTGTCTAGCCCACACTCCCTGTGTTTGAAGGCTGCAATGATGCTGCTTGGCTGAAAGATGCATATTTTTCTTTCTCATCTAGACACAATGTCTAGAGAAGGAAATTAGTCCAAGGTAATAGAATCAAAAAACTTGGCCACAGAAAACTCCATCAAGAGGGATGGAAAAGAAATAAACAGGAGGACTAATGTACCCTCTCACTTGACAGAGAGAGGAGATGGGCCCTCGGTATCTTGAAAAAAATCTCAACTTCAAGTCCCTAGGTAGAATTCTTCCAGAAAGTAAAGTTGTGAGATGGGCTAATGCACAATTCTGTAAAGATCATGCATTTACATCTTTAACATATCCCCCCCCTCTTTTTTTTACATATCCACTTTTAAAAATATTTCTAACCAAGGAACAGAGATGAGAGGAAAATTTACCTTTCACTGGATGTCCTTTTGTCCCTTGAGCTTGGGGTTTCATACTACCTATGCATTAACTATTCAAAAATTTTCAACTTTAAGAAAGAATAACAAATACACATTTAAAAGAAATTAAATTTATTGTTCCCTCAAGAAAAATAACACAGTACATACAGTATCTCAAAGATGCTCATTTCTCCAAATATTGTCAAGTAAAAACTATGCCACAGAACACATTCTTCCTTGGCTGTGTGGCCAAAGCTGGAGATAGCATTTATTTGTTGGCATATGACAAATGGATACAAAAGTTTGTTTCAATGAAACAGTTCATCTTTTGGTGAAATTTTCACAGAGCTTTCTAAAGAAATGGCTAAATTACTACTCACCAAATCAAGCAGATGGAAAGCTTAAGTCCTACACCTACCTTTAACCAGTGTTAACATGGGAAATTTACAACTCCAGCAAACTATCTTGTATACAAAAAAGAAAAAAAAGAAAAAATAAAAACATATCCCCAAAATCACCCACCTCTGAAATAAAGTCTTCTACAAGGCGCTGGTGGTGAAAGCTGGAGGAATCCTGTAGTTCTTCATTGTACTGTTCCCCCAAAAGGTGGATACTGAATTCTGCAACCTGCTCAGTGGCTGGTTTTGTGGATTCTTCCATCACAGTCTCAATTTCATTGCTAATCTGGATTTTTAGCAGAAGAACAATAAATGTCAATGTTCACTCATTCAGTCAAGAAATATCTACCGATCACCTATGATATGCCAGACACTGTGCCAAAGGCAACTTCTGATGATGACTATTTATATAATATTTGACTTTGAAACTAACTGGTAGATTTTAAGACAGGTTATTATTAAAATTGCTAAAATTGCTGTGTATTTGTGCATTTCTTTGAACACACAGTGATTGTGGTCACTGGTTCAGGAAAGAGAAAAATTCCCACAGATAACCACAAAAGTTCACCACCTGTGAGTTTGTAGAAAAAGCTGAAGTTAAACATTGCTAATTATTGGAGAAATGCAAATTAAAACCACAATGATATATCACCTCACACCTGTCAGAATGGATATCATTAAGAATGCTAGAGAGGAGGTGGAGAAAAGGGAATCTTCATTCACTGGTAGGAATGTCAATTAGTGCAGCCACTACGGAAAACAGTATAGACATGCCTTTAATAGAACTGCCTGAAAATAGTCCTGAAAACAGCCATTAAAAAAAAAAGTGAAAGTCGCTCAGTCATGTCCAACTCTTTGCAACCCCATGGACTACATAGTCCATGGAAATCTCCAGGCCAGATTACTGGGTGCGTAGCCATTCCCTTCTCCGGGGGATCTTCCCAACCCAGGGATCGAACCCAGGTCTCCCATATTGCTGGTATTCTTTACCAGCTGAACCACCAGGGGAGCCCATAAATACTGGAGTGGACAGCCTATCCTCTCTCCAGTGGATCTTCCTGACCCAGGAATAGAACCAGGGTCTCCTGTATTGCAGGCGGACTCTTTATCAGCTGAGCTACAAAGGAAGCCCAATAAAACTCAAATATATTTCCCTACAAATTCCCACTGATCCCAGTTCTGAAACCTGGATGCATATAAAAACTATAGGCCCCAGAGAAACCTTCAAATAAGGATAGGCACCTATCATCTTTCCTGACTTTTCACTGGTTCCTTTTCTCTAGACACTCCTCGGGCTCTTAATGTCTTCCTCAGAGTATGATACACATAAGTGACATCTGATAATTAAAATATGGTACAACTATCACTTTCCTGATAGCAGATTCTAATTTCTGTCAATGTAACGTAAAAGTACTCTTGTTTTACTAGTTCTTCCTCATACTGCTGACTCATACTGAAACTAATAAAAACCTTTAGCCTTAAGGAATTTTGTACAAGACTTTGCATTCTTCAATATTAAATTTTCTCTCATTAAAGTTAAATAAAAACTTACATTTTCAGTATTACTATAAAAGAAATATCCTTAGTAACCTTGCTGCAATACAAGGCCTAAAATGCTGACTAAAATTTTTAATGATTTTAATGCATACCTGGTTTGCAAGAAAATAAATCAGAAGTCAAAAAAGATAGGCTAGAAAAATCCAGAGAGGTGATTCAGTAATCTATGCATACACATAGCAATCTAGCAATCTCTTGTGACCTAGGCTTTAGTTTCAAATACTACAATAGATAGGTGCATACATGTTGAAAAGTCAGATCAAAGATGCCTATATAGACAGTTTGAACAACAAATTAGACTAAGTTGAAGGAAGAATTCAAGTCAACTGGAAGACATTTCTGAATGCAACATAGAGGGACAAAGAAATGAAAGTTAAGAACAAGTGGTTAACAGACAAAAGGTATAAAATGAGGGAGTCAGATATATACCCAATCATATGAGACAACACCTGAGAATTTTTTCTATATACATTTTTATGAAATTTCAGTATCCTCAATTCTATATTATATGCTACTATAGTGTACTTGTAGTGATGTTTCCTAAGGCCCACCATCACGGCAAGTGACGAAGTGTGAAGTCAAGTGGGCCTTAGGAAGCATCACTACAAGCAAAGCTAGTGGAGAGGATGGAATTCCAGCAGAGCTATTTCAAATCCTAAAAGATGATGCTGTGAAAGTGCTGCACTCAATATGTTAGCAAATGTGGAAAATTCAGCAGTGGCCACAGGACTGGAAAAGATCAGTTTTCACTCCAATCTCAAAGAAGAGCAATGCCAAAGAATGTTCAAAGTATTGCACAATTGCACTCATTTCACATGCTAGCAACGTAAAGCTCAAAATTCTCCAAGCTAGGCTTCAATAGTACGTGAACCAAGAACTTCCAGATGTTCAAGCTGGATTTAGAAAAGGCAGAGGAACCAGAGATCAAATTGCCAACATTGGTTAGATGATAGAAAAAGCAAGAGAGTTCCAGAAAAACATCGACTTCTGCTTCATTGCCTACACCAAGCCTTTGACTGTGTGGATCACAGAAAACTGGGAAATTCTTAAAGAGATGGGAATACCAGACTACCTTACCTGTCTCCTAAGAAACTTGTATGCAGGTCAAGAAGCAACAGTTAGAACTGGACTGGTTCAAAATTGGGAAAGGAGTATGTCAAGGCTGTATATTGTCACCCTGCTTATTTAACCTATATGCAGAATACATCATGAGAAATGCCAGGCTGGATGAAGCACAAGCTGGAGTCAAGATTGCCAGGAGAAATATCAACAACCTCAGATATGCAGATGACACCACCCTTATGGCAGAATGTGAAGAGGAATATAAGAGCCTCTTAATGAAGGTGAAAGAGGAGAAAAAGCTGGCTTAAAACTCAACATTTGAAAAACAAAAGATCATGGCCTCCAGTCCCATCACTTCATGGCAAATAGATGAGGAAACAATGGGAACAGTGAGAGATTTTATTTTCTTGGTCACCAAAATCACTGCAGATGGTGACTTGCAGCCATGAAAAAGACGCTCCTTGGAAGAAAAGCTATGACAAATCTAGACAGTATTAAAAAGCAGAGACATTACTCTGCTGACAAAGGTCCGTCTAGTCAGAGCTATGGTTTTTCCAGTAGTCATGTATGGACTGTGAGAATGGGAGCATGAAGGAGGCTGAGCACCAAAGAATTGATGCTTTTGAACTGTAGTGTTGAAAAAGACTCTTGAGAGTCCCTTGGCCTGCAAGGAGATCCAACCAGTCCATCCTAAAGGAGATCAGTCCTGAATATTCATTAGAGGGACAGATGCTGAGGCTGAAGCTCTAATACTTTGGCCACCTGATGCAGAGAGCCAACTCATTGGAAAATTACCTGATGCTGGAAAAGACTGAAGGCAGGAGGAGAAGGGGATGACAGAGGATGAGATGGTTGGATGGCATCACCGACTCAATGGACATGAGTTTGAGTAAGCTCTAGGAGATGGTGAAGGACAGGGAAGCCTGGAGTGCTGCAGTCCATGGAGTCACAAAGAGTCGGACACAACTGAGTGACTGAACCAAACTGATGTACGCTGATGTTTTAGACAGAATGCTACTGTACACTCAACAGACTACAGCAGAGGTAAACATAACTTCTATATGTGCGAGGAAACCAAAAAGCTCATGTGACTTGCTTTATTGCAATATTTACTTTATTATGGTCATCTGGAACTGAACCCACAATATCTGAGATATGCCTGCAGTTACACTATATTATAGGATACTTACAGTAGTACACCATATAGTATTTGGGAGTCTATAGTTTTACAAAAATGGGTATAGGAGTGTGTTTATGCTTATTTACTTTGCTTTGGATTTATTGTACTACCTTAACATGAGGTTTTTAGTCTATTATAAATTTGAGAAATTCAGTCATTATCTCTCATCATTACATTATACAGAGAGGAGGAGAGAGAGAGAGTAGTATCTTAACAGTAGGAGAAAAAATAGATTACCCACAAAGGAATAAGAACTGAATTGTTAGTTGATTTCTTAATAGTAACAATAAGTTAGAAGATAGTGAAATAAAATATTGACCAAAAAAAACCTTCTATCTAGAAGTTTATACAGATTATAAGTATCTTTCTAGAATAAAGGCATAATAAGAAAATCTTCAGGTGACCAAAAACTGAGATTGAACCAGTGAGAGATTCTTACTAAAGTAATACCAGAAGCATATATTTCAGAAGCAAAATTATTCCAAAAGAGAGGTCTAAAATGCAAAAAATAATTTTAAGAAAATAAATAAAATAGTACACGCCTGGGTAAATGTAAAAAATTTTATCTATATAAAATAAAAATGATGCAGTCAGTCAAATTTGTAAGATTAAAAAGAGAGAACTAAAGGAGAGAAAGAAAGAACAAAATTACTGAAAATAACATATAAAACAGTAGGGTAATCACTTGAATTATTTTGATGTTCTAATGTTCCTGCAGACTCAGGATAAGGATAAAAATTCTGAAAAACAAACTTTGCGAGATTAAAGACACATGATAACATACAGGGTAAATACTATCAAAACAGGAATAAAGTATGTAATTTCTAAAACAGTATCTGAAAAATGTATTAGGGAAAAAGCTGAATTGTAAAACTGTACATTAGACTTTACTCTGAACTAGTCATGTATGCCTGTACTGTCCTGTTTTCCTACTGGTTCTACAAATTACCTTCAAATTACTCTCTCTGTTATGAAATGTTCCAACTGATTTCACATAATCTCTTCATTTCCATTACAGTGAGTTTTATCTCATTCCATAAAAGTTTCCAGACTTACACCATAACATTCAGCATCAAGTTCAGAACTACAGTATCACTTTTTATTAAAATATTTATCAAATGCCAATATTTTCTAGTACCATCTAATTTGAACAGTTTTACTGAATACTAAAGGTACTGTATTGATACAAGGGCCCAAACTGGATCCAGCCTTGCTCAGTAACAGGGAAGGTGGTGGATAGAGTGGGTGACATGAGTTGACTTCACAGCTGGTAAGAGAAGGTGTAAGGTAACAAATTGTACCTTTCTAGTGAATATGTTCAGTCAAAGTGTGCTCTATATTAAGGAATCTGTGATTTATGCATATTTAATAAAATTTCTAATGAAACATTTCCATCTTCTTAGAAGCATATACTTTTCAAAAAATCTGGAATGTGATAGCCAACTTAATGCTTCTTAGTGGATAGATTTCCATTAGTAATGATGCATTAAAAAGCACAGTACTTCTTTAAACTACATAAAATCTATATCCTTTCCCTCTGAAGAGAGGACTAAGTCCTGATTTATTAAGAGACAGAGAACATAGGCAAAAACCCTCACAACGAATTATGCGCACAGCCCACAGAAGACAGTGGGCTTACCATGAAGACAGCTCCCCAGGTTCCAAGTCATTTAATTTACAATTCAAATCTATTCTTTGCCAAAAGCAGACTTATTGGGCTCTCCAAGGAATCTCAGATTCTTTTTAATGTACTGGTTTTAGAATCTACATTTCCATAAAGAGAACCACCTGAAGTTTTGTATTGTCTGGCAATGAACAATAAATCTCTCTAAATACCCGTTCTCCATGTTAGAAACTAAATAATGAAACAGGACATCACTCACACTGTCTTCTGGCCTCTCCAAGCTGCTCTCTGAGATCCCTTCATAGGAGGTCACCCCTGGATACGGAGCGTTGAGACCAGCATCTAAAGAGAAAAACAAAAACGTGTGCGTGAATTCAGTCCACGACTAAATCATAATGTCTATCAGGAAACAATAAACTGATTTTGATGACATTCATATAAGTCATTTGTTTTTTCATCTGCAAAATCCTGTGCATTTTAACCTCAAGACACACGAATTTCCTCAGCACAAGAAATAAATATGACTCATTCAACAAGCATTTACTGATACCTGCTTATATGTCAGGCTCTATGCAAGCCTCCAGGGATACAAAGTCTCTATCCTTAATGAGTTATCTAATAAAACTAACCTGTAAAACTCTCAGAGAGGGCAAGTGGCTGAAGGTTGGAATTGGCCAAAAATTATAATTTTTGATGCTGGGCCTCACCATGCTATTTTTTGTATGTTTGCAATTTTCGACATAGAAGAACTTTTTTTTTAAAAAATTAAAAATAAAGAAATCAACTACTAATTTACAGGCAATGTAGAGGTCAAAGAAACAAATAAAGTATACCACAGAATGCAATCAGAAAAATCCTTATTCTGGGAAACTCTAAAAGACAAATGACAAATAGTGGAGCTAGAAAGATTCTGCCTTTTGACATAAGCAGTGATTACAAAGTGTTTATCTTAAAATAATTCTTCAGGTTGTACATTTGTTTTAAGTAGTTTTCAGATTCTGTATTATGTACTTAATAATTAAGGATTCTTAAGTACCCAAATTATAATATCATAGAATAAGTGAAAAAAACAATTGCTTTTTCTTGAGACTTCTTCAACAACAGAAGGAGAGGCAAATTGGTATTTTTTAAAATATGAGCTGAAAATTTTGCTTCCTTGCAATTAAATAATAAATTTTTAAAATAAAGTAAAATAAAGGCACAAAAGCATACCTCCCAGCGTTGACATGTCACCAACAGGAGCTGGAGATGACAATTCAGAGCTAGGAAAAAGAAAGTCTGGAGTTAATAAAATGAGAGAAATGTGAGGGCTTATTTTGGGGTTTGTTTTCCAGAAAGGAATTCACCTGATCTCCTAATAAGGATTCCCAAAGTGAGGTACTAAGTAGCAATTTAAAAAAAAAAAAACTCATTTATTTTACATTTTTGATGCCTACTCAACTCGAATCACCCTACATAATACTACATATTATGTAGTATGCATATATATATGCACACACACACATAATATACCCTACATAATACTACATAACCACCCTACATAGTACTTCCTCACTATTTCATAACCCTGTTTCATTTTTTTCCTCAGTTCTTTACACTATGTGAAATTATTCTGTTAAGTTGTTTAAGTTGTGCCAGTATGGTACTGGCACAAAGACAGAAATATAGATCAATGGAACAGAATAGAAAGCCCAGAGATAAATCCACGAACCTATGGTCACCTTATCTTCGACAAAGGAGGCAAGGATATACAATGGAAAAAAGACAACCTCTTTAACAAGTGGTGCTGGGAAAACTTGTCAACCACCTGTATAAGAATGAAACTAGAACACTTTCTAACACCATACACAAAAATAAACTCAAAATGGATTAAAGATCTAAATGTAAGACCAGAAACTATAAAACTCCTAGAGGAGAACATAGGCAAAACACTCTCCGACATAAATCACAGCAGGATCCTCTATGACCCACATCCCAGAATTTTAGAAATAAAAGCAAAAACAAACAAGCGGGACCTAATGAAACTTAAAAGCTTTTGCACAACAAAGGAAACTGTAAGCAAGGTGAAAAGACAGCCCTCAGATTGGGAGAATATAATAGCAATTGAAGCAACAGACAAAGGATTAATCTCAAAAATATACAAGCAACTCCTCCAGCTCAACTCCAGAAAAATAAATGACCCAATCAAAAAATGGGCCAAAGAACTAAACAGACATTTCTTCAAGGAAGACATACAGATGGCACAAAAACACATGAAAAGATGCTCAACATCACTCATTATCAGAGAAATGCAAATCAAAACCACAATGAGGTACCATTACACGCCAGTCAGGATGGCTGCTATCCAAAAGTCTACAAGCAATAAATGCTGGAGAGGGTGTGGAGAAAAGGGAACCCTCTTACACTGTTGGTGGGAATGCAAATTAGTACAGCCACTACGGAAAACAGTGTGGAGATTTCTTAAAAAGCTGGAAATAGAACTGCCATATGACCCAGCAATCCCACTTCTGGGCATACACACCGAGGAAAGCAGATCTGAAAGAGACACGTGCACCCCAATGTTCATCGCAGCACTGTTTATAATAGCCAGGACATGGAAGCAACCTAGATGCCCATCAGCAGACCAATGGATGAGGAAGCTGTGGTACATATACACCATGGAATATTACTCAGCCATTAAAAAGAATGCATTTGAATCAGTTCTAATGAGATGGATGAAACTGGAGCCCATTATACAGAGCAAAGTAAGCCAGAAAGATAAAGACCATTACAGTATACTAACACATATATATGGAATTTAGAAAGATGGTAATGATAACCCTATATGCAAAACAGAAAAAGAGACTCAGATGTATAGAACAGACTTGTGGACTCTGGGAGAAGGCGAGGGTGGGATGTTTCAAGAGAACAGCATCGAAACATGTATATTATCTAGGGTGAAACAGATCACCAGCCCAGGTTGGATGCATGAGACAAGTGCTCGGGCCTGGTGCACTGGGAAGACCCAGAGGGATTGGGTGGAGAGGGAGGTGGGAGGGGGGACCGGAATGGGGAATACATGTAAACCCATGGCTGATTCATGTCAATGTATGACAAAACCCACTGCAATGATGTAAAGTAATTAGCCTCCAACTAATAAAAATAAATGGGAAAAAAAAGTTGTTTATCTACTTCTTTATCTATATCCATACCCTTAAGTCTTCTAGAATGGCACTTTCTAATATGGTAGTCAGTGGATGTATGTGGTAATTTAAAGTAATTTAAAATTAAATAAAGATTCAAAATTCAGAACCTCATCCACACTATCCACATTTCAGTGTTCAACAGTCCTATGTGGCTAATGGCTATTTTATGGAACAGTCGAGTAAAGAACACGTTCATCATCAGAGAAATATCTATTTAACAAGACTGCTTCAAGAATCTAAACTCTAAAAAAAAAGAAAAAAAGAATCTAATCTAAACTCCATGAGATTAGGGGCTTATCTGCCATATTTGCACTGTATCTTCATCTGAAAACAGAAACTACCACTTAATAGGCACTGAATAGATATTTTTGGAATAAATAAACACTATTGACCGACCAGTCTAGTGTAGAAGGCCCTTGGCATACAGCTGTGAACAAAACACTCATGGTCTAGGAAGGTTACCGCCTAACAGAAAACAGTAACAAACATAATATAAACCCAAGAAGCAGTTCAGACAGAAAAATACTGGCAGTCACGGGGAACGTGTAAGCCCAAATCTCATCTCATTTGAGAGGTCACAGAATCATGAAACTTTTTAGTATAAAACAAGTCAAGCTTAGAGACATGACTTGCTATAGGCCATATGGCTCCTGGGTTTCAGGTCCCCTGGCTATCCTTTTACCATTCAACCCTGCAACTGTAGGCAAAGATCAGAAGAGGTCAGAGGATAATCTGAGAAAGTCCTTAAAGAAACGGTGTTTCCACGAGTCCAAATTTCCACATAGCCCCAGACATACAGTTTAAATTACAGTAACTGAAAACTCTCTTCAACTTTCCACAGGCAGTTTTCAAAGGCGATTTAAACACAGTCAAAATGTCTCCCTCTTAGACTCGCTTCGGTCTCAGTGAGCCCCATCTTCTCTGCAGAACCACTTCTTCAAATTGCCCTGCCGCTCTAAACTAGACCATGGGCTCACAGCCACCAGATTAATGGGGCACACATCTTGAAGCAGCGATTGTCACTTTAAAGTAAAAGCACAGAGAGCTAAGCAAAAACTGATATGAATTTGGACATGTACACACTGCTGTATGTAAATGGATAACCGACACGGACCTCCTGTTACAGCACCTGGAACTGTCTCAGTTCTGCATGGCCACTGGATGGACGGGGCGTCTGGGGCAGAACGGATCCATGCATATGATGGCTCAGTCCCTTCACTGCTCACCTGAAGCTATCACAGCACTGCTCATCAGCTAGATCCCAATACAAAATACAGTTTAAAAATAAATAAATAAAACACATTAGTATTAAAACACGTGTGGCTCTATTATAGAGCACAATATAAAGTTTAAATGAATATTAAGTTACAATATGACCATTTCAAAGACATTTCCTGGCTGGAATTGAAGTGGGGGAATCAGTTGAGGCCATGTTCCCTAAACCCCTAAGCTTTGGTAGAAAATTTGAGAAACATAGGCTAAAACAAAAAAATCTCACATAAAGATTCTCCTGGTTTTTAAAAATACTATCTAAAAAGAAAAACATATTAAACCAATACACCAAACTTATCACTACTGGTTATTTTCTATATACTTGCAGGAACCTGCTTACTTAGCTGCCATTCAAAAGAATACAAAGGAATATGACATCTGGATAAGTCATTTTGATGAATGAGTAGTAGAGGAAGATCTGGGTGATAAGAAAAGGTCACGGAACCAGCCAATGAAGGAACTGTGGTGTAAAATAGGCCCATTTGAGTCCAGAAACCTCTCTCTTACCCACATTAATCCCACACCACATGGCCTTTATGTGACCTATATGCCCTAGATGGGCAACCAGGATGGTTTTCCTTGGTCTTAATGATAGTGGTGTTACATCAACTAAATGACCTAAAAGTCAAAATGTGTAAGGACCCAGAAAGAGGAAGGGAAACCCAGTCAAAGCTGGAGCGCAATCAAGTATGAAGAGAAAAGAGGTCAGAGTAAAACAGAGCACAATACAGCAACCAGAATAGGAAGCTGAGATGACATGGCAGAGAAACCAGACCTCACCAGGGACTGGTCAGACTGTCTCCCACATCAAAATCAAATTTAAGCTAATTCTCTAAGTAAGCAAGTAAGCATTCAGAATGGAGAAATTTGCTTACTTCAATAGAACTAGATTTCACTTACTGAGTTCAAAATAACTTTTTTATTTTTAAAATAACATTATTTTAATGATGGTAAGGGCTTCCCTGCTGGTCCAAATGGTAAAGAATCCACCTGCAAGGCAAAAGACCTGGGTTCGCTCCTTGGTTGGGAAGATCCCCTGGAGGAGGTTGTAGCAACCCACTCCCATCTTCTTGCCTGGAGAATCCCCATGGACAGAGGAGTCTGGGGGCCTACAGCCCACAGGGTCACAAAGAGTCGATTATGACTGAGATTAAGCACAATGACGGTAAGTAGGCAACTCTCGGTAATTTAAAACACTTGTGCAACACTCCCAACACTTAATCCCTCATCCTCCCACATTTCTTTCAGAAGACAGTACCATGAATCCTTCACATTTGCTCATCAGGTATGCCTCCTCCAGGGATGCCCTAGAATGTCGATCACAACAGAATTAGAATACAGAGCTGCATTGAGTTTGGAGACAGAAATCCCTCATTTCTAGGCCAAGCCACAAATTTGAAGTTGGTCAGCTAAGATCTTTAGCTTAATGTCAGCAGCAAACAACCATCTATTGTCTCATTTCCTCAGCTTATCCAGCACATAATTTTTTTCCTCACAGCTACTGCCTAATCATGTCAGTGGAATTCAGATGGAACTGTGTCAAAAATACCATACTCACATGGAACCTATTTTTAAAAACATAGTAGGGGACTTCCCTGGTGGTGCAGTGGATAGGAATCCACCTGCCAACGCAGAGGACACAGGTTCAAGCCCTGGTCCGGGAAGACTACACATGCCACAACTAAGGCTGTGCACTACAACCTACCTACTCCAGAGTCCGTGAGCAACAGCTACTGAAGCCCGTGTGCCTACAGCCCGTGCTCCACGGCAAGAGGCGCCACAGCAAAGAGAAGCCAGCGCCCCACAACTAGAGAGTGGCCCCCACTCACTACAGCTAGAGCAAAGCCCACGCACAGCAACCAAGACCCTGCGCGGCCAAACATAAATAAATGAAATGGTTAAAATAACAAAAATACAGTAAAACAAGCCAACAATAATTTCATACCTAGACTACTATTCCCTTTTACAATTTCCTATCCTTTGCCTTGCTCTAGAACCTGTTAACTATAATCAGCATTTAAGAAGAAAAAGGCAAGAAAACAGATTTTCCCCTAGAGTCTCCAGATAGCTAACACAGGTCTGCCAACATGCTGAGAATCATGTCAAGCTTCTGCACTGCAGAACTAGAAGATAAATCTGTGTTTTTTAAGCTACCAAAGTTTGTGATAATTTGCTGCAGCAGCAATAGAAAAGTAATACAAGAATCTCAACACAGAATGACAGCCATCTCAAGAAAATCATAAAAATAAACTTAAATATCGAAGTGATTAAATTAACGGTTTTATGGGATGACTACAATATTCAACTTAAAGAGGGGCTAAGTGAATTCCCAGGCCACTCCCAGGATTAGCTAACTCCAGGTCCCTTCATTTCAGCAAGTACCATAGTTGATGCTTTTCATCCCCCTCCAACCTGGTCTGTTCTAGTTTCATGGGAAGGGGATCAACTTTTTAATTTTCAAATTCAGTTATATATATTTCAAATTTAGTTCATACGTATTGTGATTTTCTAAGGATGATAAATAATACTTTGAGTCCCCTCACATCTAGGACATCAACAAAACATATATGACACACTCAGTTCTCTAATTTGTTTATTTATGAATTTGTTTCAAAGTGATTAACACATTTTTCCAAGAAATAGTTGATGAATGCAGCAAACTGCACCCAACCAAAGTGAGCTATGTAGGAATACACAAACTACACCTCAAACATCTCCCAGCTACCTCTGTTCAGCTACTCCACGTGTTATGTGTTATAACATCAATCCACATATGGTGTTACAACTTACAACTTTTCAATCTATTTCAGATAACCTTCCTTCATCACTTTATAACTCATGACCTACAATGTCTGTTTTCAAAGGTAAACTCCAAGGCTTCTTCCAGATTACAAGTGATATTTATTATTATGGCTCTTACACACTTCTTAACCATGTAAGATGTGCTATCGTTTTCATTAGGTACAACCATGAAGATGACTGGCAGGACCCACCAGATTGGTAAGTCTACTGCGTGTGTGTTGGAATGGCGATCATAAGGAACCTCTGAGCTCTGCCTCTTGAAGGTAAAGGACCCACACCTAAAGCACCACACGGCCCCACATCTAAGCTGGCGCTCAATCCCAGGCCCTAAACAGACTTGGTGGTGCTGTTAGCTATATGAAGTGACACCACAAGGAGTCCCACTTCCCTCCTGCTCACTCACACTTGATTTAAAACTTACATATACCCCACTACCACCAAGAGACACACTCCAATTATGCATCTGCCTGGACTCTGCTGCCCAGGCTACACCTCTGGACACTGAGTCACCTTCTTGGTTTCTCAATCTGTTGTTCCATCTAACTTGAGGCAAGATTATGGACCTGAACTGCATGCCCTAGTGATTCCCCCCCCCCCCCAAAAAAGTCACCTACATACTAGCATAACCTAGATACTGAGTATGGATAGAATCAGAAATCATTAGTCCTTGTAGACTCAAAATCCCTCACCTTCCATGATCTGCTTTGTCCTGCCACTGCTCGGGAGCCAGAAACAAGCTTAATCCTAAGCCTAAAGACCCACAGAACCATGACTCAAATCACTGGAGGATTCAGGTTGTGCTAGTCCTATGCTTCAAGATCACAAACATTAAGCCATAAAGTGACCCACACTACAACCCTGTCATTTAATAAACCATCCTCCACTAAGGTGTACCATTTTAGATAAATAGTATTAGCCTGTAAGCCTCAACAACAGTAGATTATTTTGTATCCCAGTTCCAAAACTCTATTTCCTCACCAAGAGAAAGGAACATGTCCACCTCTTAGTAACGTCAGACAGTAAACAAGCACAGTGGCTGTGAAGGTGATTTGGAAAGGGAAGTGGCCTCAAGATGAGGAAAAGACTTTGAGATTTGCCCACAGGCCTGGTTATTGCAGGAACTGGGAAGAAATAGGAAGGGATCATTAAATTTGGGATGAGGCTTAGAACAGGTATGAAACATCTCTGTTGCCAAACATGAACTTAGGGGGAAAAAAGACACTCACCCACTTACGGTCTCCTTTGCATATGTCAGTTTCTAAGGAAAACAAAGATATAAAAAGACCACGTGAGTGAAAGATAGTTATTAAGCGGTAAACAAAACTTACTGCACAAAGAACACTAATGCCCTAACACAGAATCTATGTTATTATTCTTATCGCTAAAGAGTTAAAGCAAAGTACTAATGATGCAAAGTTTGTTTTGACTCAGAACATCCCACCCACCACTCAGTGTCTGTGTGTGTTCCCCGAAGTCCCTCTCTTAATGTTCCCCGAAGTTCTCTCCTACTGGACAGACTTTACCTGCTAATCATTCCAGAAAGGTCTCCCGGGTTAGAGATTGGTAGAGTTTTACATTAACCTTCCATGGACTTAGAACCAAAGTGTTTTGTGATCTACTACATTTATAGAAATTCCTATCATAGAGTAATATCATCATGTGGATAAAATAACTGTGAAATCTAATTCTCCAGAATTCAGACAAAAAGATAAACTGTATCTGTAGTAGGATTATTCCTTCGGGGCATTCGAAGAAAAATTGTGTCCAAGTTATGTTTAAACTAGTGGTTTTATTTTGAGACCAATATGATAATTTGGAATCAAATTCTATTTTCTCTTTCTCAGCTATGGAGGCAAATCCAAAAAATTTCTCTGCTGCTGGGCCTCAACTTCCTTATCTGTAAAATGGAGTGATGATTACTCTAAATAATTCTTAAGATATTTATAAATAACTCAGTTCTTTTTACTCTACACATTCTCCTAGAACAATCTCAGCCAGTCTTTTTTTTTTTTCTAAATTTTAATCATCTAACACCTTCAACTGGGATTTTTTTTCCTTTAATTAATCGCTCTTGATACATATAAGCACAGCAAAATCATCAATTAATCAATTTGTACTATTAGCTTTAAATGTTTATAGGCCAGCATGGTAGTTATTTTTAAAATGCTGGAATTTTGAGTTCTAATAAAGGTTGTCTACCACATAAATTCACCACCTATGAGTAAACAGTCATTGTTATATTTAAAATCAAGCTAAAAAAATAGATGTATATATACATGTATAACTGAATCACTATGCTGTAAAGCAGAAATCATCTCAACAATGTAAATCAACCTTATTTCAATTTTTAAACAAAAAGGTAAAATTGAGCTTCCTTCAGTTTTTGGACAGCCAGTGATTGCTTAAGTAACATTCTCAATCCCTCTCATGATTTCAAGTACTACCTCGAGGCTGGTGATCCCTATAGCTGTATTTATAACCCAGACCACTCTTCTGGGCTTCATACCTAAATATTACGCAATTCACATTTCACAGATGGCTCAAAACAACACATTAAAAAGCACACTCACCCTCCCCAGCAGTGCCTACAAGCTGCGTCTCTGCCCGAGTTCTCAGTGGTAGCCATTGAAGCTAGAAGCTGGGAGGCTTCCAGGGTCATGCCTTCATCATTGCCCACTCCCATCCAATCTGTCACTGAGTCCTACTAATCCTTTTCCTACTTATATCCCCTATGCTCCCTTTCTCTACTTCATGGTTTACAGAGGATTCTCATCCCCTCAGGCCTCAAGTAGCGACTGATCTCTGCTCATCTTGTCCCCTCTAACCTATCATATGGTGTACAGAAACCACAATAACCATTTTACAATTCAAAACTGTACAATCAGCCCCTGCCACTTGCCAACTTACACCCCTTCAATGGCTTTCTATCAACTATGAACTTCTTAAGCTATCCACCCGTCTAGTTTGATGTCCTGTCAAATCTAGTCTACTCTTCTGATATACTGGCCAACATACACATGTATTGTTGTTAGTCACTAAGTCGTATCCAACTCTTCTGCAACCCTATGGACCGTAGCCCACCAGGCTTCTCTGTCCATGGGATTTCCCAGGCAAGAATACTGGACTGGGTTGCCATTTCCTTCTCTAGGAGACCTTCCTGACTCAGAGATTGAACCCATGTCTCCTGCATTGGCAGGCAGATCCTTTACCACTGAGAGACCAGAGAAGCCCACATTATATACAACTAATAATAATAAAATGTAGGAAGTACTATACTAAAGAATGAATAAAGAATTATGGTGTTCAAAAGATTATGTGAGCTAAATCTGTTAGGATGGGGGTTGGGGGTTGTTTCCTCATGAAGGAGGTTACATCTGAGCTGAGGACATGCAGGACTTGAACAAAAGGAAGAAGGATATAAGGGGCCTCTCACACAGCATGTGCAATCTACCACACAGATCACACAGAACTAAACAGTTTCCTTCTCTTGCCATGAATACATGCAACATGCAAAAGAGAAGGTGGGCAGATAATTTGTCTACATGCATGCTTGTTCATCCTTTGCTAAGAATAAACTAAATCTAAAACAAGGAAAACAAGTAAGCAAATTCATGCATTAGAATCACATTTACACTTTACTAAACATTTATCCAATGATCTATATCCTCTATCTTTAATTAGTTATCGATTCAACTTTGAGCTGATAAAATGCAAAACTCTGGCAAGAATGTTTGACTCTCACAGATTAATATTCTTAGCCTAAATCTTTGTAGAGCATGATTTCCAAATACTTACATTTATAAACAATCCGGAGGTTCTTGCTGGCTTCACAATGCTATTTAATTATAATGGCCAGAGCTAGAGATACAAAGATTGGCCACCCTGTGGTAGATCACCTGAAGAGCCTAATTCAACAAGAGTACCACAGGGATCGGGCATTCACCCTTTCTTCCTTTAGGCCTGAGCTCTGTATATGTGCTCCTATAGTAGTAATTTCTTCCCTTGTTACTACATTTACCTGCATAATTAAGCTTCTGTGTTCCACAGACTGACTAAAATGTGTGCCCATTTCAAATATGGTCGTGATTCCATCCTCACACAAATTCATCCAATAATGATATTCCTCACGCCCAGGAAGTCGATCCCAAAAAGTCCTGAAGGCTTCCCAGACAGCTTCCTGGCATACTGAAAAATAAATAGAGAGGTATTTTTTTATGGAAAGCACTTTAGGGTTCTCACAATGACCATGGACCTGTTATTTCAGATTCCTGAGACACTCTTGCACACAGGGTCTATTCTGCAGGGGCATGGGATGATTCTCATTCAAAGCCCTTCTGTACACCCCATTTAAACTTTTTAGACTTGAAGAGAATCTGCACTCCCCATTCCTTTCCCTTGCAAAGGAAACTGATTCACCTCCTCATAGGCAGGGGTTTTTGCTTCTCTTAAAAAAAAAAAATCCATGTTTATGTTTTAGCAAAGTACAGCTGATACTGAAAATATTTCAATAGGACAAATAACCTGTGGTATATCCATATGATGGGATTAGAATTCAGTGATAAAAAGAAGTGAGGCTTCAAGCCATGAAAAGACATGGAGAAGATTTAAATTCATATTGCTAAGTAAGAGAAGCCAATCTGAAAAGCGACATGCTGCGTGGGTCCAATGATAATACATTCTTGAAAAAGCGAAACGATATAAATTGTAAAAAGATCTATGGCTGTCAAGGACTGGGGGGAGGGAAAGATCCAGGAGGTGGAAACTGATGGGTCTGAGGCAGGGAGACTATCGGTGTGACACTGTAACGTGGATACCTGTCACTGTTAATTTGTTAAAATCCACAGAAAACACAACAGAACGAGCGCACTCTAATGTAAATTATGAAACTACGGTCCTGAATCCCGTTACTAGGCTCAGGTTATGCATCTTATCTAGTCTGGAGAAATCCAGAATGGAACAAAGACTTTTTTAGGGTAATACAGTTTCCTTTCAGAATCGTGGAGGCCAAAGCATGAGGAAGAGTCAATTTAGGGCATAAGGCAAGAAAAAGAAATCCTGGAGGGATGGGGTGGGGAGAGAGGTGGGAGGACACATGTTTACCTATGGCCAATTCATGCTGATGTATGGCAAAGCCATCACAATATTGTAAAGTAATTATCCTTCAATTAAAATAAATAAAAATGTTTAAAAAGAAATAAAAGGCATACAAATTGGAAGATAAGAAATAAAACTATGTCTTTATTTGTAGATGAAATAATCACCTATGCAGAAAACCCTACAGAATATATGAAAGAGCTACTAGAACCAATATGTGAGTTTACAAAGTTACAGAATAAAAGATCAATACATTAACCAACTGTATGTTTATATACTAGCAAGGAACAATCAAAGACCATTTTTTAAAAAATGTTGTTAACAACAGCATGAAAAAAGTGAAATAAATCTGACAAAAGATGTATAAGATCTATACACTAAAAATTACAAAACACTGCCAAGAGAAACTGACAAAGATCAAAATAAATGAGGGGATATATCCACAGAGCAAGAGTCAATACTGCTAAGATTTTGATCAACAGATTTAACACAAACCAAATCAAAATTCCAGTAGCTTTCCATGTGCAAACTGCAAGCTGATTACAATATTTATGTGGAAGACAAAGGACCTAGCATAATCAAACAGATTTAAAAAGGAAAAGGTTCAAGGACTTGCACTACTTGATTCAAAGACTTATTATAAAGCTTATAGTTATCAAGAGAGTAAGGTACTGGCATTAAAACAGATAAATAAATCTGTGTAAGAGAACAAAAAACGAAGAAATAGATCCATCATACACACATACACATACACATCACACATCACACACACATACACTGATTTTCAACAAATGTACAAAAGCTAAAAAAGATAATCTGTTTAATAAATGATGGTGGAACAACTGGCTATGCAAATGCAAAAAAATTCAACTTTGACTCATATACACCAAATACAGATATTAACTCACAGTAGATCAAAGACCTGTATGCAAAACCAAAACATTATAAAACTTCTACAGGAAAAAATAACAGAAAATCTTTGTGACTCTAAGCTAAGCAAACTTAGATCTAATACCAAAAGCAAGTATGAAGCAAAAAAAAAACCCCACCTGTCATATCAAAATCTAAAACTGCTCCTCAAAAGACATTTTTTTTTCAGTTTTATTTAAAAGACATTATTAAGAAAAATAAAACAATAAACCAAATATTGGGAGAAAATTTATGCAAAACATACACCTGACAATGAATTTGAATTTGGAATACATAAAGAACTCATATAACTCAGTAATAGGACAAACAATCCAATTATTTTTTAAATCAGCAAAATATCTGAATAGAAACTTCACCAAAAAAGATATACGAATGGACTTCCCTGGTAGCACAGTGGAAAAGAACCTGCCTGCCAACGCAGGGGACACAGGTTCGATTCCTGGTCCGGGAAGATTCCACATGCCTTGGAACAACTAAGACTGGGTGCCACAACTATTGAGCCTGCACTTCAGAGCCTGAGCTCTGCAACAAGAGAAGCCACAACAGTGAGAAGCCTGAGCACCACAACTGGAGAAAGCCCTTGCACAGCAACAAAGATCCAGTGCAACCAGAAATAAATAAAATTATAAAAAAAAAAAAAGATATACGAATGGCAAATGAGCACATGAAGAAGTGCTCAATGTCATTAGCCTTCAAGAAAACACAAGTTAAAACCACAATAAGATGCCACGTCATATCTACTAGAATGTGCTGGTTTAGTCACTAAATCATGTCCGACTCTTGTGGCCGCATGGACTATAGCCGGCCAGGCTCCTCTGTCCACAGGATCCTCCAAGCATGAATACTGGAGTGGGTTGCCGTTTCCTTCTCCAGAGGATCTTCCTGACCCATGAACTGAACCCTGCATTGCAGTCAGATTCTTTACCGACTGAGCTATGAGGGAAGTTGCATCTACTAGAATGGTTACAGTTAAAAAAGACCGACTATATCAAGCATCACACAGATGCGGAAAAACCAGAGTCCCAACACCCCACTGGTGGTACAACTACACTGGAAAAAAGGTTTGGCAACTTCTTAAAAAGTTAAACATAGAACTATCATGTGATCCATCCATTCCACTCCAATTAACGAACAGATATGAAAGCAGATGTTCACACAAAAAAATTGTTCACAAACATTCATGAATGCTTTCTCTATAATCACCAACAACTGAAAACCACCCAAATATCCCCAAATGCCGTATATCCATAAAATGTAATAATACCCCAAAGTAAATGGTAACAAAGTATTGATACATCAAAATATCACAGATGAGTCTCAAAACAATGAAACTGAGTAAAAGAAGCTAAACAAACAAAAAAAAGAGTACATGCATTCATATATATAAGGGGAGAAAACGCAGACAATGCCTGGTAATAGAAAGCAGATTAGCGGTTACCTCAGCTCTTAGGTCAAGGGAGGTGCTCAGAGAGGAAGGGTTATAAAGGCACTTGAGAAAATGTTTGGAGGTAACTGGAAAATTCATTATCTTAATTGTAGTGATAATTTAAGGATAAATATATTTGTCATAACTAATCAAACTATATACTTTAAATAAGCACAGTTTATAGGCTATATTTTAAAAGGTCCAACTACTAATATAATTTTTTAAAGGGAGGATACTATTAATTACTTCCTACTCCAAGCACCCCTAAATATCTGCTTAATTTCAAAAGTTGAGTGCAGTTGCTTCTTGCTTAAATGGAGATATTCTTCAAATGTGTTATACCAAACAGCAATTGATATCAAGTTATCTATGAAAGGAAAAACTCAGCAAACCATTAGAGTGAATTAGTTCAGTGGAAAGAACTAAAATCCTTGGCTGGACAGTGAGTGGATCTAAACAATGTCTAAACAATTGGTTTTAGGAGCATAATCCAATTACCTCTTCTAAATCTCTTCAAAATCAAGACCTATGTTGAAATATTCATTCCCCCCTTCCCTGGTAGCTCAGATGGTAAAGCATCTGCCCGCAATGCAGGAGACCCGGGTTCGATTCCTGGGTTGGGAAGATCCTCTGGAGAGGAAAATGGCAACCCACTCCAGTACTCTTGCCTGGAAAATTCCATGGACGGAAGAGCCTGGTAGGCTACAGTACATGGTGTCGTAAAGAGTCGGCTACTATACTAAAGCCTTTGTGTCAATTACAACAAACTGGAAAATTCTTAAAGAGGTAGGAATACCAGACCACCTTACCTGTCTCCTGAGAAACCTGTATGCAGGACAAGAAGCCACACTTAGAATTGGACATGGAGCAACTGGACATGATTCAAAATTGAGAGGAAGGAATACAACAAGGCTGTTACTGCCACCCTGCTTATTTAACTGCTGGGCAGAGTACATCATGCAAAACGCCAGGCTGGGTGAAGCACAAGCTGGAGTCAAGACTACCAGGAGAAATATCAACAACCTCAGATATGTAGATGATGTCACTCCAATGGCAGAAAATGAAGAGGAATTAAAGAGCCTTTCATGAGGGTGAAAGAGAAGAGGGGAACAGCTGACTTCAAACAAATGTTTGAACTAAACATTCAAAAACCTAAGATCATGGCATTCGGTCCCAACACCTCACGGCAAATAGATGGGGAAAAAGTAGAAGCAGTAACAGTTTTATTGAAACCATTGCTGCTGGTTTCAGTATTTGGACCCACCAGCCAATAAGAATATTTCTTAGTTCTTGCTTAAAAAAATAAGACATACTGGACTGTGTGTAAAATGCACCCATGAAATTGAGACTGTGCTACGTAAGTTCTACAACATAAAGTAAACCAAGCAGACGTAGAAAATTCATCTTTTCAAACGATGGAAGTACAAAATGCTGTCAAGATGTAAATCATTCTTTTAACTAGAGTTTCTGAATCAGTATGGAAGTGGTCATAGAAGGGAAAAAGAGACCTCTGAGAACTTCCTCTTAAAGGAGGTTAAATATACCATCAGCTAAGATCAAGAAGAGGAAAAAGTCAAAGTAGTGATAGATTCTCTCTTCTTGGGTGCCAAAATCACTGTGGATGGTGACTGCAGTCATGAAATTAAGACACTTGTTCCTTGGAAGAAAAGCTATGGCAAACCTGAAGTGAAGTGAAGTGCAATCAAAGTCACTCAGTCGTGTCCAACTATTTGCGATCCCATGGACTGCATGTGGGATTCTCTAGGCCAGAATACTGGAGTGAGTAGCCCTTTCCTTCTCCAGGGGATCTTCCCAACCCAGGGATTGAACTCAGGTCTCCTGCATTGCAGGCGGATTCTTTACCAGCTGAGCCACAAGGGAAGCCCAAGAATACTACAGGGGGGTAGCCTATCCTTTCGCCAGCAGATCTTCCCGACCCATGAATCGAACCAGGGTCTCCTGCACTGCAGGCAAATTCTTTACCAATTGAGCTATCAGGAAAGCCCATGGCAAACCTAGACAGCATATTAAAAAGCAGAAGCATCACTTTGCCAACAAAGCTCCATATGGTCAAAGCTACAGGGTTTTTTCAGTAGTCATGCATGGATGTGAGAGTTGGACCAGAAAGAAGCCCAGAAAGAATTGATGCTTTCGAACAGTGGTGTTGGAGAAGACTCTTGAGAGCCCCTTGGACGGCAAGGAGATCAAACTAGAAATCCTAAAGGAAATCAACCTTGAATATTTCATTGGGGGGGGGGGGGCGGGGAACTGATGCTGAGGCTGAAGCTCCAATACTTTGGCCACCTGATGTGAAGAGCCAACTCAGTGGAAAAGACTGATGCTGGGAGAGATTGAAGGCAAAAGGAGAAGGGGACGACAGAGAATGAGACAGTAAGATACCATCACAGATTCAACGAACAAGGAGATAGTGGAGGAGAAAGAGGCCTGGCATGCTGCAGTCTACTGAGCTACAAAGAGTCAGACTTGATTTAGTGAATCAACAACAATCTTTCCTCCATGGTAACTGTAAGTTCTTTTCTACATCTGTGACTCTCTATTTTGTAAATAAGTTCATTTGTACCATTTTTTTTTTACATTCTACATATAAGTGATATTTTATGATAACCTGGTACTTTTAAAGTACTTAAATGATTTTAAACCATGTCCATGTCCTCTCTTAAAATAACATAAACTTTTCTCTGAAGCTATATAAATACCAAATTCTTAGTAAGTCTGTTTTCCATGGTTAGTAGAAAGATAATATTTGGTTCAAGTCTCTATCCAAAGTATGACAAATTCTGAATTGTAAAGAAATACAACAACTGTTTTTGAACTATGTTTGAATTTCACCATGGAGCCCAAGCGTTTGAGTATTTGCTTACCTCGGACTTTAAAATATTTCACGTGGTTTGCCACAGCCTCTGTAACACTTTCATCTGGGCAAGTTTTCACACCATTAGGAAATAAAGTCGATCTCTTTCTTCTGAGCAACCAATGTCTCTCAGTTTCTCTGTTGTCCAGAGGCTGTTTCTTTTTAGCAGATAGAGAAGAATCTGTGGATTCTGAGTCAGTCTGGAGAAAAGAAACTGTACTCTTGGGTTCTTGGATCTCTTCTAAAGATAAGGAGGCTTGTGCTACAGAGGGAAAGCATAAACAAAACTTCTGATGACGAATGAAGATACAGAATGAGAGGACACAAATGAAACCTGACATCTGCACCATGTCTGGATTTTTAACTCAATGCTCAAGTTACAGACCTCTATGCATCAAGAGAAGTGAAGTATTCGATTTTTTCTCCATTTAATTCCTACTCCTTATTTCAAGACTGCTAGTTATTGAAACCAAGTATACATTCAATTTCTACACAAGAAATAAAAATAGTAAGGCCTGAATCAAGAAACATTAATGAAGAGGAAAAACCAGAATTATTGGAGAAATTATCACACAGTTTAAAGGAAGCAATATTAAAGACTGAGAGAGTAATATTTGATCCAATTCCTTACAGCAATCATATCAAATAATGTTTTTAGAGAAAATATACTACAGATACAAAGAAAAATTTAAAAAGTAACACAGATTTTTAAATACCTGTTAATGATGGATGGCTTCCTTCTATCAGGACAAATATCAAAATACACAGAGAAATCTTCCCAAAATGAGGAAACATAATCATTTGAGCCAAAACCAAAAGGAGGAGGAGAGGCCAAAATCTGTAACTTGAAAATCCTTGAAACGTCCAGTAACAAACTGCTACAGAAGAAGTCTAACATTTATAAGTTTACGGTTGAGGACTGACAACCATTTCAAAATCATTATAAATTAGCTGAATAAAAATGGTGTCCTTTCAAAGTACCTCTCCCTTCTTTTCTGAAATAACGAACATGCTATGAGAGCAGAAGAGATAAGCTAATTAGGACAGATGGGAAGAGACAATTTCTTTGTTCTAATCTAGTCAGCTAAGCTCTTTACTAACACTCTCCTTGCCTTTAATAAGTAGTCCACATAAAAATAATGTTTCCCCCAAAATAATAATGTTACACATACAAATCAGAATTTTACAATTTTTCTCAATCTATTAGATTCACATTCTCTGATTTTCTCTACAACTGATTTATAAGCAAAAAACGCCCAGACCAACTACAGTTGTTCACATCAGAAATATAGAGCTACATACAAAATTAAATCAGTTTTCTTCGAGCCGTTCCTGTTTGTAATAAACCTACTGTCTTGTAAGCTACTGTCTGTCCCTCCTTGATTAAAAAACGTGAAAGTCTTCCACTGTAACCACTTCTACCTCCGTCCTCATCTATAAAATAGAACAGGAATAGTAAAAAAATAACTCATGATAGAGATACTGTAAGCATTAAAGAGGTATTAAATTTTTTCTAAATTCTAGTTAAGTGATTGGCTTACGACTTTAAAAAGAAAGCCAAGTTTGGTTTTTTCATCCCAAGAATTGTGAAATAAACACAGTATTACCTTCTTTAAGAAGGCTTTCCCTTTCCACTGACAACACTCTTAACAACCTCTCTACCAGTTCTCAGTATCACACTCTCACACACACCCTAAACTGAACACACTCCCGTGATCCCAAAGAAACTCTATGATTTTTTTAAACAAGCATACTAAAACTGTTCAGGTGTTCATTTCTCCTATTAGACTAGAAATGACCTAGGAATAAGAGCGGTCATTCATTTTTTTCTACCTTCTACATTTCCTGATAGTAGTAGATGCTCAAAAAATGTTCCCTGGACTGACAATCAAAATTACCAGATGCCTGCTAAAACAGGAGAAAAATTCATCTAAGCGTCAGTTATATGACATGCACTGAGTATCACACGATTTAAAATTTTTATCTAAAACTCAGCCACCTTCCATAAGGAAAAAAACCACACCTCAGCCTGATGAACTGGAAATATGTTTAATATAAAATGTTGGTAGTCTCAAAGCATTATTTCCATATGAATTTACGAAAATGGGATTTTAAACAATCTGCAAAACATGGTAAGTAAGGGACAGTGGTATCTTTGAAAAACATACAAACAAAAGTTAAGAAGTCACAGTAAGATGTCTTATATATTGGTTTTCCCAAAATTAGATATACAAAACAATGAACAGTCATCTAAAAAAGTTCCCTCCCCAACAAAGAAACTGGGAATGAAACATGTAATTATAACGGTCTTTACAGGAACTCTCCAAAGGACAAATATCTTTAACAATAAAAAGGTGATGACAGAAACATAAGGACACTGAGGCTTAACTGACAACTCAATTCACATGATTCTGAAATAAAACATCCTGCCTGATTGTTAGCTTCATTTTAAACTGCCTTTCCTTCACTGCTATACAGTTACAACATAAATCTAGGAGACGCCTAAAATAGAAGATTAAAATGATATTATTAAAAAAATTTTCTTATCTGAGAAAATACAATATAATTGTCCCCTCAAAATATTCCTGATAACATTAGAAGGTTGTAAAGTGTTGAATCATATGTAATACCATCATTATCACATCAATTCAGGACTGTCACCTGTCAGAACCTTTAATAAAAACTTATGTTCCATCTGGTTCTTAAGTCTCTAAAAATTACAATTTAAAAATATAAAAGCAATGAGAACAATCTGGCTTTTGCAGACGAATACTGGATAAACAGAGCTATAAAATTATGTATTCAGTCCTAACAATTAGTATATAAGAATTCGAGGATTTTTTTTAATTAAAGTTATGAAGACACCAGTTTTATCTTCTATACTTACAGAAACTGTACACATATTCTGGGATGTCAGAGTAGGATAGGAGTCAATATTTACATAGTTATACCTCAAATAAACTAAGTTGAGCTACGTATGCAATTTTTTGTGACAGCTAAATTTTTTGCTCCAAATTCACTCTGAATGAACTAACTAAATTCTCAGATCCCCACCGTGATGGCAAAAGAAACAAAAGAAACAAACAATTAGAGTAACAGTTCCATTTAGCAACTGAGAAAAAAAAGCTGCGCTTTGAAAGAGTGAATTCTTATCACTTTCCTAACATCGCTTTCTCTTATGCTATACAGAAGGGATGCCGTAAATGGCATTTTCTGAAGCCTGATACTAAATTCTTTTTTAAAAAAAATACACAGTATTCATACTGCATGCTTGAGCTGCAAAGAATAAAACTACAATATAATGTGACTTGTCAACAAATTTGACAAGCACTGGGGCTGGCACCAGGGAGGACCTAACTCCCTTCAACTCCCAGTTATGTGGAAGTACAGATCATATAGCTTTATTATCTACAAAAACATTCCCACACATTACATACACTATTGCATAATCCAAGCATATTTAATCAGAAAAATATCAAATATTTATGAAACTTTAACTCCTATCTAATACATTAATCTATACCACCCCCATTTCCACTCCATCTATGAGATCCCAACAATTCTAATAATATATCTTATATATTTTAAATAATGCACAATGACTTATAAAACTACTGCAAGCTATTTTCTTCTCTGTGAACTGGCCAACACGAAGGCTGGTAAGCGGCTTTCCAGTAATCGTGTAGAGAGAGCATCTGTGTCATGTCTGTACAGATTAACTAGCTGCTGCTGCCCTTCTGCTGCTGTAAGTGAAGCTTCAAAATGAGCTCTCGAATATCTTCCCGTTTGGTCTTTATTACATGACGAGGGAACCACTTCTCCAGATGAATTGGAAGTTCAAAGTTAACAATAGGATCCTAATGACAGAAAAGACAATGTAATTACTTTAGCAGTATAATTCAAATTTGCTCAACATTCATTTTTCTAAGAAATGAGAAATTGCTAACTTTTTAAAATAACAGCTTCAGTGAGACATAATTCACATAACATACAATTCACCTAAGGTATTCAACTGAATGATCTTCAGTATATTCAAAGTTGTGCAACCATCACCACAATCAATTTCATAGTATTTTCATTAAACTGCTAACTTTCGAACATCAAAATTAAACACCATTATGTTCTGCTACAATTCATGTTTAAGTGAATCAGTGCAAACAGAATTAGTAAACAATGATTCAATACAACACAGAAGTCAGCTTGGTTTGAACACAATCTTCTCCAGCATGTTACTATTTTGTACTATTAAAACAAAGACCAAGGCCAGCAGTAAATGAAGACTCTCAGATAAAAAAACAGAAAATTCTACAGAAGTACCTTCTTTTAGTCTAAGAAAACAGCCAATTTAGTGGTTTCAAGAATTGGTAAATTTTCCATTATGTTAAGCTTAACAAGGAAGGTGCGACTGCAAAGACAATTCTGCCTATCTTCAAGAAAATAAATAAATAAATGCTGAAGACTACCCCATATCATGTTTATAAATTTGATGAAACTATTAGAAGCTAGATGTGAGAAGGACATACTTAAAAAGGAAATTAAGAATCCCAGGGTTTAAAGCTGAAATGATGGGCTGACTGTGATTCTAAGAGCATATGTCAGTGGAGATTTATCTGTGCAAGTATTTTTATTAGAATTAATGTTGTTTTTCTTAGGCCCAGTTACAAAGTTCCACAGGTTTTGAGTGATCAACCTGAAACCTATTTTCTTCCACCCACAGTCTGTTATATTAGTGCACAAATGTCTGGAACACAAGGTTTAGCTTTTTGAGTTCCCCACCCCCTAGGAATCTTAAGTGGCGCTACAACCTAAATGAGAAGTATACAGACTGAGGCTACATAAACTAGAATTATATAGCAGATTCAGAATATGTGATGTAATAAGACACTCTGGATAATCTAAAAACAAAATCAAATCTCTTTGGAAAGAATATTAGAAGACCAGAATTTTCATCCTATAAGGCAGTTCCAGTGTAGAATAAAAAAGGAATAAAAACATAATAACACATTTAGTGGTTTCTATAATATATACCATCTTCTACTATAATCAATTATCCCCAATTATACCAAAAGTTACAACTGCATACTATAACCTTCATGCTTTGAAAGTACATTTAAGGATTATCTAAACAAGCTTTTGGTCAAAAATACCCTATTCCTATAGCCATCTTCATAAATAATACTGGTTATGACTGAAGTAATAAGCTAACAGTTAAAAAGACAAAAAAGAGTGATTCCTTGCTATTTTTTTTTTTTGATTCCTTGCTATTTAAAACTCTTTTTACTGTTGCTACAGTTCCTACAGAATCTCTGACGAGCTAGAAAATAATACCCAATCGTGTCATTGTACTTATGTAGCTGATGGTTTTCTGAGATTCTTCAATACACAAGTCATTGGTCTTGAAATGTTTCTTCAAATTTGTCTGTCTTATTCTCTCTCTGCCTTGAATCCATCTTCGACTCCAATTATATGTAAATCAGAATTTTGACTGTACCACACTTGTCTCTTTTGCGCTTTTCTCTTCTTTACATTCTTTTTCCTTTCTTAGCTACAGTGGGGTACTTTCTAGTGTCCTTTTATATAGTTCCCTAATCCTGTCTTCTGTCGTATTCAGTCTGCTATTAAACCCATCCAATAAGTTCTTAATTTCAGATATATCAGTATGCACTTTCAGTTCTAGAATGTCCACTCAACATTTTTTTTAAAGCAGATTCCATTTTCACCCATTTTGTTCATCTCGACTATTTTCTCCAATAAATTAATCAAATTATTTTAAAGCTCTTATCTTTTAACTCCAATATTTGGGTTATATATGGTTCTATGCCCTTTTTTTTCTTTCTTGATCACCTCTAACATTTTCCTGCTTCTTTGCATGCCCAGTAATTTGTGATTATCTGCTAGTAACTGAATAAAAAACTTCTTTACATCTTCACATACCTTAAAGAAGCTTTCCACATATTGCAGTAAATACACGCCACAATCGCTGCTATTATCCTGCTTAGGGACTTTAGGGCACAGGTCCACCATGTTTGTTTTGCTGAATTCACGATGAGTTTTTCGTTTAACTTCCCATTCTACCTCTAAATACCTTAAATCAACAAAAAGTAGAGTGACCTGAACGGAAATTTCTTTACTATTATGTAAACTTTCACAAAGATGTAAAAGCATCTGCTGCCAAATATGTTGCCTCCAGCCACATTTCAAAAGACTTAAACCTTAACAGCACAAATTATAACTTGTGAGGCTTCAAAAATGCTAATAAAATCATCTGAGTTTCAAACTAAAAACTAGACTTTTTTCAACAACTTAACTTTTACAACTCATATAAGGTAAGTCACTTATATTTACAAAGTAAACTTTAGTTGCTGGTTTTTTCCAGATCCTATAGCAAATTTTAAAATTACCAACACACACACAAAATAAGAATATGAAAGAGTCTTTTTTCCTAAAGTGTTACTTTTGTTCAATCGTGAATATGAATTTCAAATTTACTTTTGATATAAATCCTTGAGAAATATTTTACACATAATGGGGTTATTATTAATTAGATCTATAGACCTCACCTAAGTACATAATAAAATATAACTTCTGATCTAATCTTTTAAGTAATTCTTAAGGCAACTTACCAATCTGAGATCATAGTAAAATCATCACTACTTACTCCCGTAAATTCTGAACTGTGCTTTGTACAGAAGCAGCTTTCAAAGAATCCAGTACGAGAATGCATGGCCTATGAAAAGCAAAGAAAGAAATCAAGATGTATGTATTTGTGATATGAAATAAACCTAAATATCTGAATTATGTATTACAGCATGTACGCACCTTTTACACATTTTCTTTGGTACTGTCACATTCATCTCAGGACTCTGAAATAACATGAATTTTTATGACCTTGAAATTAAAGCTGGTTTGAATAAATAACCTTTCAGTCATTTTTTAAAATGTTTCAAATAACTTTAGAATTTCAAATAAGAGTTCTTTTCATCATCTCAAGTAAGCCAAATTTGTTTTTAAAATTTATTATTTTCTGTCCCTGGTGAAAAAGTTTATAAACTTTTACATGTGACCTTAAGAAGTTATGGAGCTTTAACATAGCCTAAAAAACAAACTGGAACTTGAATTACTTGTATTCACAGTTGCCATCTTAAAAAAGATAAACAAGTTAATTGAATCTGTCCTTAATCACATTTTCTTAACTCAGTAAATGAAGTCAGTAGAGACAGACTTCTTCCCTTTGAAGCACAAGAAGCAAAGTATTAATGTATATTAAGGGACAAGAGAGGGCTTCCCTTGTGGTTCAGCTGCCTGAACCACAGGCAGGTGAAAAGAATCCGCCTGCAATGTGGGAGACCTGGGTTCAATCCCTGGGTTGGGAAGATCCCTTGGAGCAGGGAAAGGCTATGCACTCCAGTATTCTGGCCTGGAGAATTCCGTGAACTGTATAGTCTATGGGGTTGCAAAGAGCTAGACACAACTGAGCAACTTTTCACTTTCACTTTCAAGGACAAGAGGTGGGGTATTTTGTTATTTTTGCTGATAAATTTAAGAATCAATAGATCAAACTTTCTTTAATATGCAGAACTTCTCAGTTATCTTTATTATACTAATATTACAGTAAATCTCAAAGAAGGAAATAGAACACAGGATTTACTCAGCTTAACTGACTAAAATCCTTTTCATCATAAATGCATCTTAAAACAGAACTCAATTTGGGAAACCTGGCTCTAGAAGCAAGAAGAAACTCCCCTATTCCGCCACCGAGACATTAAAGAAGAAAACATCCTTCCTTCTGCCCAATCTGTTCCAGTGACAATAAAGACATAAGCCTTTGCCAGCGAGGCTACTGCTATCTGTATGTATAAAAAAATAATCAGGTGACTACCTTAATCAATTAAGATACCAAAGCTAGACTATAAGTATCAGTTTTGAGGTCCATTTGAAAAGTTAACAGTAACTATCTTAGCCACAGAAGTCATATGGATTAACCGTGAGTCTACTTTGAATGATTTTTACCAACAATTTATAAAAATAGAAAGTGTAATGTAAAATATTGTACAGGAGGTGGTGACCAAAACCATCCCAAAGAAAAAAAAATGCAAGAAGGCAAAGTGGTTGTCTGAGGAGGCTAAGAAAAGAAGAGAAGCAAAACGCAAGAGGAAAAGAGAAAGATATACCCAACTGAATGCAGAGTTCCAGAGAACAGTAAGGAGAGATAAGAAAGTTTTCTTATGTAACCAATGCAAAGAAATAAAGGGAAACAATAGAATGGGGAAGACTAGAGATCTCTTCACAAAAATTGGAGATATCAAGAGAACATTTCATGCAACAATGGGCATGAAAAAAAACAGTAAGGACCTAACAAAAGCAGAAGGGATTAAAGAGTGGCAGCAAGAATACAAAGAACTATACAAAAAAAGGTCTTAATGACCTTGATTAATGGCCTGTATAACCATGATGGTGTGGTCACTCACCTAGAAACAGAAAACCTGGAGTGTGAAGTCAAGTGGGCTTTAGGAAGCATTACTATGAACAAAGCTAGTGGAGGTGATGGAATTCCAAAAGAGCTAATTCAAATCCTAAAAGATGATGCTGTTAAAGTGCTCACTCAATATGCCAGCAAATTTGGAAAACTCAGCAGTAGCCACAGGACTGGAAAAGGTCAGTTTTCAATCCAATCCCAAAAAAGGGCAATGCCAAAGAATGTTCAAACTATCACACAACTGCATTCATTTCACATGCTAGGAAAGTAATACTCAAAACCCTTCGAGCTAGGCTTCAGCAGTATGTGAACTGAGAACTTCCAGATGTACAAGTTGGATTTAGAAAAGGCAGAGCAAACAGAGATCAAACTGCCAACATTCGCTGGATCATAAAGCAAGCAATGGAATTCCAGCAAAACATCCACATCTGCTTCACTGACTATGCAAAAAGCCTTTCACTGTGGAAAATTCTTAAAGATATGGGAATACCAGACCCCCTTATCTGTCTCCTGAGAAACCTATATGTGGGTCAAGAGCAACAGTCAGAACTGGACATGGAACAACAGAATGGTTCAAAATTGGGAAAGGAATATGTCAAGGCTGTATACTGTCACCCTGTTTATTCAAAGGAACAAGTGGAAACAGTGACAGATTTTCTTTTCTTAGGCTCCAAAATCACTGTGGATGGTGACTGCAGCCATGCAGACACTTGGCCCTTGGAAGGAAAGCTAGACAAACCTAGACAGTGTATTAAAACCAAAGACAACACTTTGCTGACAAAAGTTTGTATAGTCAAAGCTATGGTTATTCCAGTAGTCATGTACAGATATGAAAGCAGGAAATTAAAGGCTGCAAGTGAAAGTCACTCAGTTGTTTAAGACTCTTTGCAACTCCATGAATTCTCTAGGCTAGAATACTGGAGTAGGTATCCTTTCCCTTCTCCAGGGGATCTTCTCAACCCAGGGATCGAATCCAGGTCTCCCCCACTGCAGGCGGATTCTTCACCAGCTTAGCCACAAGGGAAGCCCAAAGAAGGCTGAGCACTGAAAAACCGATGCTTTTGAATTGTGGTGTTGGACAAGACTCTTGAGAGACCCTGGACTGCAAGGAGATCAAACCAGTCAATCCTAAAGGAGATCAACCGTGAATACTGATTAGAGGACTGATGCTGAAGCTGAAGCTCCAATACTTTGACTACCTGATACAAAGAACTGCCTCACTGAAAAAGACCCTGATGCTGGGAGAGACTGAGGGCAGGAAGAGAAGGAGGCAACAGAGGATGAGATGGTTGGATAGCATCACCAACTCAATGGACATGGATTTGAGCAAACTCTGGGAGATAGTGAAGGACAGGGAAGCCTGGCGTGTTGTATTCCACGGGATCACAAAGAGTCTGATATGACAGCAACTGAACAACAATTACTGCAAAAACTGATGAAATGATGAAGAATAAAAGTACATTTTCCCATAGAAATTGGAAAATTAGCTGACCAAGATGATCAGATAAACTACTAAATAAATGAATCTAGGAAGTTAAAGTAAGATAAACAGATGCAAAAAGAAAGACAATTTCCCTTGATCCCTTCCCTATACCAACAAAATAAATCAAAGAATCATAAATCAGCATAATTTAATCATATGGTCCACCTGTATCTGTCATAGCCTACCTAGCTATGCCTTGTTTGAGACAGAGAATTGTTACATTCATGAGTTTCCCTCCCTTCATGTTCATAAAAGCACACTTACTTGAGAATCTTCTGTACCCAAGGACAGTGCTGAAGCAGTATGCAGATCGTTATCTAGTCAGAAATAACAGAACAGTTATGTGTGTTTATTTTATGTCTACCACAAGGTAGTGGGATAAAAACTGTAATGTGTATGCACACTGGTAGTTAAAGGAAAAAGAATACCTGGGAACTACTCAGTTTTTTTTTAATGGTTAATATTACAAAAAAAAATCCAAGTGATAGAGAAAACAGACAATGCTTCATTAACTGTCATCAGACAATACATAAACCCTACAGCCAAATCTTGAAATACCAGTTATCTGGGCCAGTTTCCTATAAAAAGACAATGTTCATAGAATGCTCATTTATCAAAATCTCTGCTGTTTTAATGCAGAGGAGCATTAATTCACCTAGTAACAATTCTTCTAACATGATCATAGGGTGTTGCATAAATACACTTTTACAGCACAGGAGAATTAGACAAAATTGAAAATAATCAGTTACTTTTTCAGTTTTTCTTTCTCCCACAAAAGATACAGGTTTTGGCTAGTATTAATGCTAATGACTAATATTAATTCTGCTTGCTGCTTAGGCTACAGCTATAAAATACAGTTTGATTTTTTTCTCAAAGAAAGGAGGCTTATTTACCTACTTAAGGTCTATCTGGGTTGCAACATAAAAATCACGGAAGAAAGAGACCCCTATATTACCTAGCCAAATTACTAGTGTCAACACGACCTGTCTTGATTCATACCAAGAGAAAGAAAAAACGGGGTAGCTTTCAAGTTATGCCTGAAGATACATGATGTTTAATTCTTAGCAAGAATATTTTATAAAAAGTGCTATGATAAACTTGATATAACAGTTTAACTTGAGAATTACATTTTGTTTATACATGAGTCTGGGTATCATGAAAATTTCAGACATTTCTTCTAATAAACTAAATGATAAGAAGTAATTATACTGTTTATACTATCTTTCAACCTCATATTGTTCTCCATAATCATTTTACTTTTGTCATCATTATTAAAAATATGATCCACATTAAGTTTATCACCTATTCTGCTGCTGCCATGTTGGGATTCCTCAGCCTGGGAGTGCTGGGATATAGTTTGTGGAAAATCTTCATACACAACTTCTTCTAACCATGGAAAACAAATGACTGCAAGATACCAGTGAGACCTGTAGAAAAAGAAATATAATATTAACACAAAATTTAAACAATATAGAAGAATATATTCTAGAACTATAGCTGAGAAGGTGGGTATGACAAATATTAATTCTGAATAAGTTCACTGTAATATCCAAACACACATTTTACAACTAATTTAAAGAGTACTAAGACTTCTTAGGGTAAAATCTGAGTAGTTCAAACTTACTTTTATAAAATTAATATTTCCTGTTGAGGATATGCTTTAATAAATAAACAGAGCATCATCTTTTTTCTTTTAGTGCTTAAAGAGTTTGTTCTCTTAAATACTTGAAGAGTCACCCTGAATGCTTTTCCTTTTTTGTTTAGAAAATCTTTTCTTGAGTACCCCTCACCTCCAAAAAAAAAACTCTATGCCTCAGTCATTATAGTCTTGTGGGCATTTGTCATTTTATTTTTTTCAATATAGACAACATAAGCACCGTCAAACCAAAATCCAAGACAAAAAAGCTCATTTATTTTAGCTACTTCCTTAGAAAAAAATTTAAACATAACACCTTGATTGATATACCCATACTTTTTTACTGATTACTAATCTAAAAATGCACAAAGTACTTTTCTCCACCCTCCAATTTTTTTTCTGAAATACTCACGACTCATTTACAGGCACAAAGATGTAATCCTTGTTAAAGATGTTTATGTGACGAGTCCATGTTCTTACTCTCTTATGTCTTCTCTGAGCCATTCTGGGAATAAAAAGATAGATATATTTGGTAGAAAAAAATTCAAAATTTAAGATAAGAATAACCATCTTCTTCAAGATACATAATATTTAACAGACTGGAAAATGTGCTTTTATTAACATCTGGCTGTTTTTAAATATGACCACTATTTATAAACATAAAATAATGGCTAAGAGAAAGGCAGCAATTCATAAAATGCTCTATAGATTCTAAAAGTGTCTGAACAACTGAATATGAACAGCTATACCTATTTATTCTGATATAAAATATTATCATTAAACCTTAACAGAACTGTCTAAATGCTGTATGTGTGATGAGGGAGTTGTTAAAACTTAATGGAAGAGGAGGAATGAGGTAAAGATTCTTAAATTTTTAAAGATGAAATTCTTCTCCCTTTATCTCATTTATAAGAATATTATAGGACAAGGAATACCCTGGCAGTTCAGTGGTTAAGGCTTTGCTTTCCAATGCAAGGGATGCAGGTTCAATCCCTGGTCTGGGAGTTAAGATTCCACATGCCTCCTGGCCAAAAAACCAAAACATAAAACAGAAGCAATATTGTAACAAATTCAATAAAGACTTTAAAAATGGTCCACATTAAATAAACAAACAAAAGAACATTATAGGACAATGAGTTAAGCATATGCACCATCCATCTTTTATTTTATTTCTTTGATAAATATTGGATTCTTAAGAATAATGAAAATCACTCACACTGCCCTAAAGGAATTTACAAAATAATGAAGAAAGAAAAAAAACTACAACAAATAACTAAAATGTAAGTTTCATAAGGGATACAAATGAATTATGGTGATGGCATCTAAGAAAACCATCAAGAATGAATCCTTTTCATTCAACAAGAATGAATTCCTTTTCTTTATGTCATTAGGGTGTTACAAGACGGAAGATATCAAACCAAATTTGGATGTCAAAGAAGGTTCTAGGAAAGAGATGGCATTTCACAGTTGCATAAAGGAGGTTATGGTATGAATTCTGGCTCAGTCCCAGGAAGGACCTCTTTTTAGTTAGAAATTAAACAAACAATGGTTTGTTCTTATATATTTATATACCAAGTAACACAGGAAACAGACATCTTTGCTCTATCCTTGGCCATGAGAATATCTAACCAAACTTACGGGAGTAGATGTTGGGAGTAAAATGGAATCTAGAACGGGCTAAAAGATGTGGTAGGAATCAGACACTAGCAAAAGAACAACTTTGTAAAATAATGAGTCATAAGTTTACCAAGTTTTCTTATTTCAAAGTGATCCAACCATTACAATGATTATAAATAATTATTTTTACCCAGTACAGAATCTCTGTTGTCCATTTAAAAAATCTTAAAAGAGGCAGCTGGTTTTCTTTTATGTTGGTGTTTGATAAATTTCCTGATTATGCTATCCTTACTTCACTGGGAATACATCAGACATTGGACAGAGCAAGGATGATAAGAGGGAATATAGGGACATAATATGATCTCTTACTCTCTGTTCCTAACTAACTGGAAAATTCTCAATTAAATGTCTAACAGTTCTCTCCCTGTTTAATAACATACATTATTATCTTTTGTTCTGAGTTCCTAGTATGTTCTCAGAACTGAGCAAAATGTACCAGGTATAGAGTAAATGGCAACCCATTCCAGTACTCTTGCCTGAAGAATCCCATGGAGGGAGGAGTCTGGTAGGCTACAGTCCATGGGGTCGCAAAGAGTCGGACATGACTGAGCGACTTCACTCACTCACTCATAGAGTAGAAGAAAAAACAGATGCAGTCCCTGACCTCACGGAGCTTATATTTTAGAATGAGAAACTGAAAACAAACAAACATAAAAATTATTAGAAATAGTTTTAAAATAAACTAAAAAAGTACCAAGAGAGAAAAAAAAAAGTGCCAGGAGAAGAAATTTCCGTCAGAAAATGGCAAAGAGCTTAGCATATTCAAAACCTAAAAGGAGGCAGGCTGAGCTGAAGGATGGTAAATGAAGGGAGAGAATGGTGAGATGAGTTTAGGGAGATGGACAGGAGTGGCTCTTGCTGAATCTCATAAACCACAGTAACGACTGTCTATCGTTTAATCTGCTATTTCCTAACATTGATAGCTTGAGCTTCCTGTAGGATTCATTGGCTATCAATTATGGTTTGTATCCCTCGCAAGTTTGTTTCTGGATTCTTTTTTTTTTTTTAACCAATTTGTATGGATTCTTTGTGTGAATACTAACTATATACACATCGGCCAAGCATTAGTATGAGTATTGGTGTGTGTATGTGTATGTATGTGTTCATATGTATATGGGTGCGTGTATACGAAGATATGTTATGCATAAGATACATGTAATATCTATATCACCCTGGAAGAAGGCACTCATTTAAATTAGTTTTGTCTTATGTTTATATATGATCAGGCATATAGGTATAACATCTAAGTTTTTTCTAATTTTTTAATAAAAAAAAATTTTAAATACAGCAGAATCTACCTTTTCATTTCCTCAGTTTCTAGGTAGGTATGCCAACTGCATAATCTCCACACTGACTAGTAATCTTAACACAAAATGTGGGATTAAGTGTAGGGTGCCAACCGTCAATTTCTATACACATAAAATAAAAGAAGGGGGCATGAGAAATGTTAAATATCTAATCTGTTTACTACATCCTCCCCTTCCATATCTCCCCCTCCATTAACCCTAATTATAAGGAATATTTTCATACTGTGATTTTCTCCTTAGTTGATCCCAGAAGGTCTTGTCTACCAGCACAAATTTCAAACCTATAAAGACACTCAAAATATGGATGACCACACATTCCAGTTTGTATAAGTATAAAACCAATATACACAGGTTGCCTAGTGTAGCTATTAATAGAGCCCCCTTTTACTCACTCAAGTGTTCCAATTTAGACCATGAATTATATAGCTGCAATACTATAAATAAGAGAAAGAGCTTGAACTTTTAAATTGGAAAGCTATATCCAACTTCTGATAACTTATCTAACTTTTTTAAGCTTCATTTCACAACAATGGCCATTTATCTCATAAGACTATTGTGGAATCAAACAATAACCTTATGTTCACTGTCCTGGTTCCAAGCAGGTACTCAGTAAATGTTAATACTCTCTCTATTGCTATTATTTTTCTCCAACAACACAACAAACTCAGTTTACCCATTTAATCATATTTTCAGTTGCCTATTACTCCTATTATTTTAAAGGGATGAAACAACTCTCACAGCCATTTATTTTGAAGGCAGTCTAGTAAAACAAAAACATCTCTGGACTAACAGTTAAAACAAAGATTTAAATATCATCAGTTCTGTCACTTTATCAGAGTTCTGACAACCTTCGTTGGCCTGCTTCCTCATCTGAAAAATGCCTTGCATATCTAAAAGCACTGTTCTGTACAGAAATGCACCTTGTAAAGTGGTAGACAAATGTTTACATTAACTTTAAAAAAAAATAGAAACTCCTAATTTTATCATACACCTACCACACAGATTATCACACAAAGCATTAGGGGTGGGGAGAGAGGTGAAATGGCTCTCTGCTCACAACTATTCAAGTTACTGCTAAGATAAAAAAATTACACCTTCTTCTTTTTTGCCTATCCTTAACCACTGCTCAGACACTGATGCTGAGAAAGATTGAAGGCGGGAAGAGAAAGGGACGACAGAGGATGAGACTGTCGGATGGCATCACTGACTCAATGGACATGAGTTTGGGTAGATTCTGGGAGTTGGTGATGGACAGGGAGGCCTGGCGTGCTGCAATCCATGGGGCTGCAGGGAGTCGGACACAACTGAGCGACTGAACTGAACTGAACCACTGCTCTGTAAGTTTTAGAATTAATCAGAAAACTAATTGGACAGAAATTCAGCTAAATTGTGGGGACACAGTATTTTTTATAATGTTACCTCAGTTTAATTAAACAGTAGTATGTTAGTGAGAATCCAACCAGGAAAACAAAAATCTTCATATATATTTAAGACAGATAAAATGTAATGCAAATTACTGGCTACAGTGGTGACAGAAGAAGTACAAAGCCACAAACAGCAATCAGTGAGGCACCCAGAGCTGGGCAGAGGAGGAGGATGCTACACCCAGTGCTGGAGGGGCGAGTGAAGAAGCAGTGGCCCCAGACGGAAGTCAGAGCTCTGCCCGTCCAGTGAGAGAAGGGCCCACAAATGAACTAGAATCACTATGAAAATAACTGCCCAGGGCAAAGAGGGTAAGGAAGAGACATCCTGACATCTTCTTTCCTTGCCCTCCAACCTCCAACATTCCCAACAGAACAACTGTAAACACAACCTGCAAGAGTAAGGCTCCCAGTGAGGAGGAACAGAACAGCGGGAGGGTGAGAAATGCCTTTCAGGACAGGCCCAGGACACGCCCAAGTGGTAACACTGCTCACTCTAGGCAATACAGTAAGAAGGTATTTTGCTAGGAGCATCAAAATAGTAATGCTTTCCTCTTAAAACTTAAGTATATTGGAAGGCTGACTTACGAAAGATTTGGATTATCTTCTGTTAAATTATTTTCCTTTCTTGTCAAGCATTTGTAGAAAAAGCTACTAAAAATATGACTTCTTTCAACAAGTTCATCTGATGCCTTCTCCAATATAAGATACCTATAAAGTAACAATACCACAAAAGTAAGTTATTTTTAGATTTTACCTGGTTTTCCTCCAATTATTTTATGTGTTCTGAAAACCTTCATTTACATGTCCAATTAGAGTCAAAGCAATCTTGCAGTTTGCTCTGATTTCAGATTTTTTTTTTGGTTCTTTAACTACCTTACCTTCAATCAAGATCAATTAAAGCAGAAATTTTCCATTTTCTCATTCATTTACTTAACACATATTTCTCAAGTTCCTAGTGTGTGCTAAGATACCGTATTTATACTAGCAACATTAAATGAGAGGGGGGAAAAACAAGTTCCTGCCCCCAGAAAAGTGAGGGTAAAAAGGAAATATTAATCAGATAATCATACAGTCACATATAAAACTGAAACCATGACATTCCTAAATAAATCCAGAGAAATTTTAATAACTCTTGAGACACAACTAGTCGCTAAATCCTTAGTCCATTTCCATATAAAACAATTCTTCAACACAAGCTTTTATTTCAATCACTTAGTGACTAAATCTCTCATATTTAGAGAACTCTGGTGTTGTTAATAGTTTACAAAGGTTCAAAAATGACCTTGCAATTGCTTTTTTTAAAAAAGCATAAAAGACAAACTCAGCTTGAATGTTTTTAATGTGGTCATGCAGAGCATATACTGTGTGACAGGAGACACAATGGATGCCTTTGGTGTGCTCCAAGTGTTCTTTTATCTTAATCTGAGTGATGATGACCTGGGTACATATATATGTGAACATTCATGAGCTGTACACTTAAAATTTGTGCACTTTCCTACTTGAAAGCTATTCATCAATTTTAAAAATAATTAGGAAGCAGTTCAAAAAATTAACATAGGATCCCCTCTGAAAAGAATTCAAAGAGATACAGGCACTTCAGTGAAAAACAAGTATAGAAAAATACTCTTAGAATTAAATTATAAATAAAATTTTAGTAATTATTTCCAATAAAACATACCAAAATTAACACTAGAGATAATTTAATATATCTTGCAAAATATAAATTTGACACTACTTAGGGATACAAAACTTAGTAAGATGTAAGATGCTCAACCTTTAGAAGGAAAATCATCGTAATGCCACCAATAACTTTAAAATAAGGCAAAATATTATATGAACCATAAAAGAAATACAAAAAAGCTATTATGAGAGTTAATACCTGTTTAATTGGGAAAGGTTTTCACGAAGGTAACACTTGTGAGGAAGGGGAGTAAAATTTCAAAGGGGAATAAAATTTTAACACATTAAGATAAAGAGGAGAATATTCCATGAAGCAAGAGTAACGGCATTAAGGCAGAAGAGTGACTAAGGGATGGGCTTTGTTTAGTAGACTGTTTGTAATTCAATTTTGCTGGACTACCCTACGCAATAGGCACAGGGTCATTAGTAAATGACAGGAAACACAGATTAGTGTCATATTATCAAAACACTCAAATGCTTGACTGAACTCACTTTGACAGGTAATAAGAAATAAAAATTTCTAATGAGATTTGCATTCATGAAGTAGTTTATGAATAATAATGGTGGTAATAATATACTTAACAGATAGGAAAACAGAGACAAAGGATATAAAAAATTAATTTAGGTACGATAAGTATACTAAAAAGATTGATGACAGAAGAAAGATAAATGAATTTCAGAGACCAAATCTACTATTCAGGCAACTGAGTATGTAGAAAGGAAAGAGAGGGTGAAGAGACAATGATAATGGAAACTTCACTTCCAGCCCAGCTGGAATAAGATAGATCAGATTTACACTCCTATTTGAAACAAGCAAAAAATCAAACAAAATATATGAGGCAATAGTTTTTAAAACACTGGACATCAGCAACAAAGAACAGTGACCCTTGAGAGATGGTGAGGTCCATAATTGCCTCAGCTCACTGCCTTGATACATTTCAGATTACAACACAGAAAGGAATAAACCAGGTGAAAGATGGTAGACTCCCTGAGTTTAGGAGATGCTGAGAGTCAGGAAAGAGTAAGGCAGCAAGAGTTTGCAGATCAGAATACTGGAAAGGAAAAAGCAGTATAGAAGAAAACTCCAAACATATGCAGGGCATACTCCTCAAGAATTTAGCAGAATACTGATCACTGCATATACGTAAGGAAGACACTTAAGACTGGAAAAAGAAGTATCTGAAAAAAGTAGAGAGAATGCTACCCAGCATTCCTGCAAATTGCAGGAATACTGCCTGTTACTACGAGCCAGGCTGGAAAACCTCGTAATTCATGAGAAACTAAGTACAGTATTCAGAAGGGTCTTTCCTCAGTAGTGGGGATTAATCTGTTGGTCTTACCTAATAAATCTTAAAAAGCAAGAGTTTAAAACCAGTGAACTGTTTCCAGATCAGCTCAGTTCAGTCGCTCAGTCATCTCTGACTCTTTGCGACCCCACGGACTACAACACAACAGGCTTCCCTGTCCATCCCAGCTCCCAGAGCCTACACAAACTCATGTCCATCGCATTGGTGATGCCATCCAACCATCTCACCCTCTGTCGTCCCCTCCTCCTCCTGCCTTCAATCTTTCCCAGCATCAGGGTCTTTTCAAATGAGTCAGTTCTTCGCATGAGGTGGCCAAAGTACTGGAGTTTCAGCTTCAACATCAGTCCTTTCAATGAACACCCAGGACTGATCTCCTTTAGGAAGGACTGGTTGGATCTCCTTGCAGTCCAAGGGACTCTCAAGAGGCTTCTCCAACACCACAGTTCAAAAGCATCAATTCTTTGGCGCTCCGCTTTCTTCACCATCCAACTCTCACATCCATACATGACTACTGGGAAAACCATAGCTTTGACTAGATGGACCTTTGTTGGCAGAGTAATGTCTCTGCTTTTTAATATGCTGTTTAGGTTGGTCATAGCTTTTCTTCTAAGGAGCAAGCATCTTTTAATTTCATGGCTGTAGTCACCATCTGCAGTGATTTTGGAGCCCAAAAAATAAAATCTGTCACTGTTTCCATTGTTTCCCCATCTATTTGCCATGAAGTGATGGGACCAGATGCCATGATCTTGGTTTTCTCAATGCTGAGTTTTAAGTCAAATTTTTCACTCTCTTCTTTCACTTTCATCAAGAGGCTCTTTAGGTCTCTCACTGTTTCCATTGTTTCCATCTATTTCCCATGAAGTGATGGGACCGGATGGCATGATCTTAGTTTTCTGAATGTTGAGCTTTAAGCCAAATTTTTTACTCTCCTCTTTCACTTTCATTAAGAGGCTCTTTAGTTCCTCTTCACTTTCTGCCATAAGGGTACTGTCACCTGCCTATCTGAGGTTATTGATATTTCTCCCAGAAATCTTGATTCCATCTTGTGCTTCATCTAGCCCAGCATTTCACTGATGTACTCTGCATATGAGTTAAATAAGCAGGGTGACACTACACAGCCGTGACGTACTCCTTTTCTTATTTGGAGCCAGCCTGTTGTTCCACGTCCAGTGCTAAATGCTGCTTCCTGACCTGCATACAGAATTCTCACAGGCACGTCTGTAGGGAGTTTTGGAATCTTAGAGGGCAACATAACCAGGAGAAAAAAAAAAAAAGAAAACCCACAGAATTTAAGCCTAACCGCAACTGTGGAAAAGGGCCTTTCCCGTGAAAGGCTCTAACCTAACAACCTAAAGCACAGCCTGTCCTGCCCACCGAACAAAGGACTGAGTCACCAGCAAAGGAGAGATAGCTGGCTGCTGCCGGCCCCTCCCCGCCTGGAGGCAGAGAGGCAGACAGCCAGAGCTGGAAGGCGAGCGGCTGCTGCAACCTCAGCCCCAGAGATGGCACCTTCCACCAAACCGTGAGCAGGTTCCCAAGCTGCTAACAGTTTTCCTGAGATCCTGGATGGCTGACAGCCACCAGGAGGGTCGCAGTCTGAGATCAGCTCTCCAGAGGAGACATATGCTGAGACAGTGCTCTCATGGCTCGCCCGGGAAACCCAGCATCCGGGACCAAGCTCTCATGGTTCCCCCGGGAAACCAAGCAGCTGGGACCAACCTCTCATGGCTCCCCTGGGAAACCCAGCAGCCGGGACCAAGGAGGTGATGGGAACGCAAGGCCCACCTAGGACAGTGGACTTGCCAAGAACCTGGTCGCCCGAGCTGCTCAGACCTGGAAAGGGCACGGAACGCATGCCCAACCCACAGAGACAGAGCCAGAACTGTGTCTGAGTGTCTCCTATGGAGGCACAGGTCAGCGCTGGCCTGCCCCAGGGGCAGGGGCTCTGGGTGCAGCAGACCTGGGTGTGGCATAAGCCCTCCTGGAGGAAGTCACCATTAGCCCCACCATAGAGCCAGCAGAACTTACACAGGACTGGGGAAACAGACTCTTGGAGGGCACAAACAGGACCTTGTGTGCACCAGGACGCAGGAGAAAGGATTACTGACTCCACTATAAACTGGCCCAGACATTCCCATGAGTGTCCAAGAGTCTCTGGTGGAGGCGTAGGTCGGTGGTGGCCTGTGCAGGGAGCACTGACCAGAGCAGTGTATGCATGGGACCTTTTGAAGGAGGTCATCATTATCTGCATTACCTCCACTATAGTTTGGCCTCAAGTCAAGCAACAGGGAGGGAACACAGCCTCTCCCATCAACAGAAAATTGGATTAAAGATTTACCAAACACAGCCCCACCCATCAGAACAAGACCCAGTTTCCCCCTCCATAAGTCTGCCTTCAGGAAGCTTCCAGAAGCCTCTTACTCTTATCCATCAAGAGGGGAAACAGAATGAAAACCACAGTCACAGTAAACTAACCAAACGGATCACATGGACCACAGTTTTGTCTAGCTCAGTGAAACTATGAGCCATGCTGTGTAGGGCCACCCAATATGGATGGGTCATGGTGGAGTTTCCAAATAATCTGTTTCAAAACAAAATTCAAAAATATTTACAGGAACATACCAGCACCCAGTAAAAATATCACCAGACATGCAAAGAAGAAAAAAAGAAAGTATGACTCATAATGAGAAAAATCAGTCAATTGAAACCAACCCAGAACTGACAAGGATGCTAGAATAAGTAGAAAAAGACATTTTAAAAGTTATTATATGATATATTCCATATATTCAAAAAGCTACAGACATGAAAGATATTTTTTAAAAAGGCTCAAATAGAACTTATAGAGATTCATTCTACAAAGTTCAAGATGAACAGCAGATGGTAACATGAGACTTTTAAGTCTTATCCTTACTAGAATAGGGATAGCACTATTATTAAAATGATAGGGCTGAAATTATATGATGATAATAAATTGATTTGGGAATGGTCAGTGAAAATAATCAGGAGGCATCTTGAAAAATAAATGTTAGAAATGTGGGTCTAAGGATATAGTACAAAATGAGGACAAGAGACAAATTATCGCTGCATGAAAGTTTATAAAACTTTTTTATAAATTCATTCAGCTTGGCTATATAAAAAATTGAAAACTATAAGAGAATAGTGATATAGATTTTTTAAATGTTGGTTAACTTTTACAGTGCTTAAGGACACATAAAGAACTATATAGTTGTTTCTTCCTGGTTCCCAAAGTGATCTGTCATTATGTAAGTACTTTCGTCAATAATACTACAGTCAAAGCATCAAGCATCACTGACTCAATGGACATGAGTTTGAGCAAAACCTGGGAGATGGTAAAGGACAGAGCAGCCGGGCGGGCTGCAGTCCATGGGGTGGCAAAGAGTTGGACTTGACTTAGTGACTGAACAACAAAATAGTGAAAGAAGTATCAATCAACAGCAAGCAAATAACACAAAGGAAAACAAATGAAACAAGAGTAACTCTTCTCAAGTACATAGTATCTATGGGAAGTAAAGAAATGAAACTGAACTTGCCAACACTAGAAAACTTCCCTAGACAAAATTTTTCAAATCTGAAATTTTAGCAAGTTATTTTCAGCTAGAGTTAAAATACTTCAGAGATATTTACTTCAAGATTTACATCAACACCTGTAAAACAAATAACATAATGACACAATCATGCTTCATTGTACTTACTTAAGATAGAAATCAATGATTACATCATTAAGAAACTCTCCTTCTTCTAAGCACTCCAGATCTTCATTAGTTACTCCTAAGCCCCCTTTAGTAGGTGGTGGAGGATATACAATCAACCTTAAAAAATAAAAATAAAAGTAAAATGTATTAGTAATGAAAACTCTGGTCTCAAAGGGATTTGTTCTTTGGGACAATACAGGGCAGTAGTATTCAGTGACTGAAATCTTAGGGTAAAAATATTTGACACAATTCAATCAACTACATTTTCCTTCCTTCGTTTTCACAAGCTACTGATAGTGCTGTCATGGAGTATCTTTTCATTTCTAATCCTTCCCATGTGGGCTAGTTTCAGTTTTTGTCTAATCAACAGGTTATCTATCACTGAGGATGTCTCTCTTCTGTTGAATACTTAACTTTCAACAAACTGAAGTAATAAACCATATAAGATTCTCCTATGCTCCAGTTTCCACTGTTAAGTTTGAATACCCAAGACTAAAACAGTCAGCAGTCAAAAACTATCTTCTCCTACTAGTAATGAGTCTATACCAGCTGGACAATGAAGAAATATCACGGGAACTTAGGAGGCAAGTTTCCCATAACAACATGCTTACAATATAAAACTTAGGAGAACATAAAGGAAATAAACCATCAGATCACAACCAGAAAAGTGGAAAACAAAATGACAACTAATTAGGCATTTTTTCCTTTGGTACCCTCTCTTAAAGTTCAGAAATAAGAGCAGTTGTGAATTCTGGCTATAATCTTGAAACAGACAGGGTGGTACTCACTGCACAAATATACTCAATAATAAAAGTATAATATGTACTTGTTGAACTAGAAAGATTCCAGAAGGTTAAGAATCAACTGCAATTGATTTAATCTTCATAACCATTGCATCTAAATTAAATAATACGGGAAATTTTTAAGTCATAAAGTGATAATAACTATTTAATGGCTATTTCCCTATCCTGCACTATTCGTTTGTTTTTTAACAGAGAAAAGGAATCATGTAGAGGAATAGAAATTATTCTCAAATGCAAAGACTCGCTTATTCTACTTTACTACTATAAGAAGACACAAAAAAGACCAAATAGGATCAAGAGAGTAACTTGTGAAGGGAAGTTCTGATGAACTTCAAAGTACCCAAAATTGAGGCACACTTTTGTAAGTAATTTCTCTTTTCCTATCATATATTCAGATATGGGATATATAATCTTAAAAACCATATACTTCTATTCAAATATTTCCAATAAAGGCTTTGACACATTTGACATCTTGGCTACCATTTCTGACTTCTTAACATAAAACATAAAAGTAAGTGAAGTGGCACTGACTTGTTTTCTTGATTATTTCTATTATTAACTGTCAGCAAGAAAGCAAAACTGAAAACATTTAAAAAGGTAAAATACTTAAACTCAGCAACATGAATGAAAACTACTAAAGTGCCCGCCTATTACAAACAGGATACGAGACAGTACATACTTCTGAACAGGTCCAGTGTGCCTGACTTCTCGCCATTCCTCATCTGGATTCGATGTAATGGAAAGCGAATAGCAACCACTGCTCTGCTTCTGCAGTAAGGTGTAAGTAGGCTTGGCTGTATCTGTATTTGAGGGCTGACCCCCCAAAAAAAAGGCAAAGTAAAAGGTCTCCTTATACCCGTACAAACACATATTAACTCTCAAAAGGACAAAGTCAGAAGTTAGACTTGTAAGAGAAAATAGGACTAAAAGAAATACACACCAATGAGTTATATACATATACATATACTCTTACAATTTCTACAAAGATATAATCAAGTCAAAATAATACTCTGGAGCAAAACATAATGTACTATGGATCAAAGTTTAACCTGAAGTGTTACTTATAGGTCTGGGTTTTATAATTTTAGAATCTGAAAACAGTGTTGTTCAAAATGAATAAGAGAGGTGATAAGTAGTAGGAATGTTTTTAGAAGACTGATAAGTGTTTATAACAACATAAACCAATATTTTATTATTAAATGGAAAACTATGATACAAAGTTGTATATACAGTGTAATTATCAGGCAAAATTTTCACAATATTATGCAAAAGCCAGTGGTGAAGTCTTACACCTTATCTTTCACTAATGTGTCTTTCTACAGACCTTTAAAATAACAGATTAAAATAACCAAATTCCACATGTGCGTTTATGTGTGTGTGTGTGTGCACACACCCCCATCACAGAAAACTTAAAACACTTTTCTTTCTGGGGGCATTTGGCAGAGATATATAAGCCATAAGTATATTAACAACCTTCTATAAAAATAAATACAGCATTTTAAGACTTACCATTAATTGTTTCAAGATAATCTTAGACTTATAAAATAATTACAATAAGTAAGCCTCTAAGATGGTGCTAGTGGTAAAGAACCCGTCTGCCAATGCAGGAGACATAAGAGACGTGAGTTCGATCCCTGGGTGGGGAAGATCCCCTGGAGAAGGGCATGGCAACCCACTCCAGTATTCTTGCCTGTAGAATCCCATGGACAGAGAACCTTGGCAGGCTATGGTCCATAGGGTAACAAAGAGCTAGACATGACTAAAGCGACCTAGCATTTAGCAAGCCTCTCACAGATTCCCCTAATACTAACATCTTTTTAAAAACCACAGTACAATTATCAAAAGTTATGATACTATAAACTACAGACTTTATTTTGATTTTACTACTTTTTCCACTAATAAATTTCTTTTGTTTCAGGATCCTACAATTCCTTCATCTTTATTTTTCATGACCTCGGTAATTTTTAAGACTGTCGGTCAGTTATTTTATAACTGGGCTTGTTTGATTTTTCTCAAGATTAAACTGAGGTTACAAAATATTGAGAAAAACAGTACAGAAGTGATGTACCCTTCTCCATGCATGATGTGACAGGTACATTATGTCAATATATTTTATTACTGGTAATGTTAACTTTGATCACTTGGGTTAAAGTGATGTCTGTGACACTTCACTGTAAAGTTACTATAGTGGAGAAAAAAAGTTCTTTTTCGTAATTAGTATTTAAGGTGAGAAACTAAGATTATGCACATATCCTGACCTACTTGAAGTTTTCACCCATTAAATTTAGCATCTCTCCATGGATCTTACCTGCAACAATCATAACTATGATTTTTCTAGTGCTGGTTTTATATTTCTCTTGTTCCTTTTACATTTTTTTAATTGCAATATTTTTCTAAGAAAAAATTGTCCCTTGCCCACCTTTTATTATTTGTGTTTTCATTCATTCATTCAGTTAATTACATGTACCAATACACATTAAAGGGGATATATCTTACTCTCTAGTAATAGTCGCATGCTATCATTACTGATTTTGTTGATCTGTTTCTAGCTGTGGCACTGGGAACTCCTTTAGGTTGGTTCCTGTGACCTTTGACAAAGCGCAGCACTCTAAAATCATGCTAATTTCAATGAAAGACTTTTTCTCCAACTGCTTCCCTCCCCCTCACTAATTACATCAGCCGTTGCTAACCTGAGACACTGATTTCATCTTCATTTCTTCAGTAGTGCCAGCAGGGAAGGAACAAGTTGAAGCACAGTAGTAATGAATAAAAGAACTTTCTTTTGAAGACAGGCTCTGAAATAAAGGGAGCGCCTGAGCCCAAGACAACGGGTAAGAAAGCTCTGGCTCTCCACTGGCAGTACTTATTTCTGTCATGATGTCTTTCAATTTCAATTCTTCTCTCTGCGAAATAAAACTGTGTAGCTCAAGGAAAATGAATTCAGTTGATTTTGCTATGAAAGGAAAAAAAAGAGATCGGTTTTTATCAGTAGTATTATTTTTCAAGGGGATTAAGATTAAAATAATTTATTAGTGACAGTAAGGATGGCATACGGCTCAACAAACTATTCTGCATGTTAGTTAATGACCCAGGCAAATTAAATCCCCAAACAACCCATTAGTAACCGAGAACCGAAACTCACAATTTTAGACTCCTACTGCATTAGAATACAAACGCCACGATGGTACTGACTGCTGTTATCTCCAGTACCTGGCATTTATTAGATGTGAGTAAATATCTGTTAATGACTGAAATATATACATTATATATAAAACAGACAGCCAGTAGAAAGCTGCTATATAGCATAGGGAGCTCAAGCTGGTGCTCTGTGATGACCTAGAGGGGTGGGATACGGGGTGGTAGGGAGCACCAAGAGGAAGGGGATATGGGTACACTTATGGCTGGTTCACACTGCTGTATGGCAGAAAAAAACATTATATTATAAAACAATTATCCTCCAATTAACATTAAAAATTAATTTAAAAAATATTTGTTAATGAATGCACAAATAAGTACATGACGACTAAACAATTATTTTTCTCTAGCCTTCTCCATATAGCAAGTCTGCCCATTAAAATTTTCATTCAAACACTTCCTTCAGAATCATCTTCTTTCATCAGTCATTTCAACAGTGGTTTCAAATGACATTCTCACCTCCCACAATGATGATAAATGGCTTAAGCATTTTCCCCACTCCTCTGCTATTTGCTCATAAGTTTCCCAAATTAATTTGGAAGCAATCAGGATAACAAAATGAGGAATTTTAAAGATTTAAAATTCAGATCACTACTTAACATCTTTAATATGCAAGGCACTAGGAGGAGGAAAGGTAGAGAGATTAAAGAGATAAAAAAGAAATTTATTAATCTGATTTACCTAAATCCAAATCAGACTCCTTTAGGAGTTGAAAACTAAACAAAGTTGGAAAATATTTCAAGATACAAAATCGGAGAAGGCAATGGCAACTCACTCCAGTACTCTTGCCTGGAAAATCCCATGGACGGAGGAGCCTGGTAGGCTGCAGTCCATGGGGTGGCGAAGAGTCAGACATGACTGAGCGACTTCACTTTCACTTTTCACTTTTATGCACTGGAGAAGGAAATGGCAACCCACTCCAGTGCTCTTGCCTGGAGAATCCCAGGGATGGGGTCGCACAGAGTCGGACACGACTGAAGTGACTTAGCAGTAGCAGTATATACCAATAGACATGTGTTAGGGGAGCATTGGAAAAGTATTCAATCCAGTCTGGGAAAAATGATACGTAAGTAAGTATACCAAGTTTTCTTTTTTAGAAACTAAAGAAAATCTTGAAGATAAAGACTTCTGTATTTTATTTAACTTTGCCACTGATTAGTTCTGTCATAATTCATTATGAAATAAGGGCAAGAACTCTTAAGACAGGCAGCCAAGGATGTCAACTGACTAAAAGGTAAGGTACTCCTTTTATTTTAGAATATAATTTTAATTGGCTGAGTAAAATTGTAAGGAGAAATTATGAATAAAGTAATTTATCTTAAATAATATCAAGGGATAAATTATTTTTAATTCAGTGAACTTGATTTCGATTCAATGAAATAATTACATTCTACTAAATTATTTTAGAGGAAAATTATTTTATAGGAGTTCTCAAATAATCTTGACATTTAGAAGAAATCTTTTTATACTCACATTGCTGGCTTAATACAGAGTTTTCCAGTTGGGTCTGAATCTCCTGAAGATAACTTGAGGAGACCCAAAGAAAGAGGATAGCATGACTTCTTTTACTGGGATCATCATCTTTATTTTTCCATAATCCAAACCTCTTTAAATGTGTTGTATCCACTAGCAATGAAATCTCGTGCACAGACACTGAAATAAGTAAAAGATAACAAGGTAATAAGTTAATCTGTTTGGGAATATAGCACATGCACTGTATGACTCTTCTTTAACAATATATTTTTCAAAAAGAATTATATGCAAAGTTTTTCAAAAATATTATTTATAGCACATTTCCGTAAACTTGGCTGAAATACCTAAACACTATTATTAGAGTAAAAAAGATCATATAAATTAGAAAGGGCTAAATAATTATTAAATGATAATAAAAAGTAGGAAGTTAGCCTCTCACCACTATATGATCTCAGACTATCTTATCAATGCAGCTAACTAAGCACAGTGTAACTGAGAAAATTATATAATTCTATTTTGGTCAATACTACTAACCAAGATTCCAAATGTTATCATAAGCCACTTAACGCCTATTTTCCTTCTCCTAAAACATTTATCCAAAGATTCTCAAGAGTAATATGAGCTTCTGAAGGGTCTAGCATAACTTTTTTTTGGAGGCACTGCAGTTTGCAGGATCTCAATTCCCCCATCAGGGACTAAACCTGGACTACGGCAGTAAAATTAAATTATTTTTAATTAAAAAATGTAATTAAGAAATTAAAAGATGCTGGCTCCTTGGAAGAAAAGGCTATAACCAACCTAGACAGTAATATTAAAAAGCAGAGACATTACTTTGCCAACAAAGGTCCATTTAGTCAAAACCATGGTTTTTCCAGTGGTCATGTATGGATGTGAGAGTTGGACCATAAATAAAGAAAGCTGAGCACCAAAGCACTGTGGTGTTGGAGAAGACTCTTGAGAATCCCTTGGACTACAAGGAGATCAAACCGGTCAATCCTATGGGAAATCAATCCTGAATATTCATTGGAAGGACTGAAGCTGAAGCTCCAATCATTTGGCCACCTGATGCAAACAACTGACTCACTGGAAAAGACCCTAATGCCAAGAAAGATTGAAAGGAGGAGGAGAAGGGGACGGCAGAGGAAGAGATGACTGGATGGCATCACTGACTCAATGGACATGAGTGAGCAAGCCTCAGGAGTTGGTGCGGAACAGGGAAGCCGGGCACGCTGCAGTCTCTGGGATCACAAAGAGTTGGACACGACTGACGACTGGACTGAACTGAACTGAACAGCGGTGAAAGCCCAGAATCCTAACCACGAAGCAACCAGGCAATTTCTAGGATGAACTCTTAAAATTTTTCGAGGTTTTACCTCTCAAAATTTTGAGGTAATCACTCTGAATTAACACTTTCTCCCTTTCATTTAGTGAAAAGAATCTCCTTGAAGCACCTTATTTTTTAACTCAAAGAAACATACAAAATTGGTATAAAGATGTCCCCAGGTCAAGTACAAACCCAAGATTGTTACCTATCTGAAATAAATCTCTTGCTACTCCTCCCCCTGGTTTTTCCTGGCACAGTGCTACTCAAAATGCAACATCCTCAGCTTGCAACACTGCCACAGACGGGGAGGCAATTAGAAATACAGAATTCAGGCCCCACACTGGATATACTGAATCAAAATCAGCACTTAAAAATAAACAAACAAAAAATAAACAGGATATCCAGATGAACGTTAAAAGTTTGAAAGAGATTTTACAACAAGCATTCAAATACTCATTAACTTGTCATCTTTATGGTTTCCAAGATAGCCGTTCTATTCATTTTTTCTTAATTTCTTCCATATCTCCTCCTTCCTTCCGCTATTCTTTTTCCATTATTCCATTTCTTCAGGCTTTTCCCTTGTTCCCTTTCTGGATTTCTATTTCTCTTCTGTGCCTGTCCATGTGCATGCCTGCCTGACTTACTCTCTTCCTATCCTGTCATGTCTAATTCTAACCTACTTCCCCTCTTCTCTTACTACATACTGGCTCCTTTTCTGTGTGTATGTCTTTTTTTTTTTTAATTGAAATATAGTTGACATATAATATAATGTCAGTTTCAGGTTACAACATAATGATTTGATATTTGCATACATTATGAAATGATTACCATAATAAGTTTAACCACCTGTCTCCCTATAAAGTTTATAATATTACTGACCATATTCCTTATACTGAAGATTATATTTCTGGGGCTTATTTATTTTAAATACATTTATTTTGCCTTATTTACTAAATTTTGCCCAGCTCCCCATCACTCTCCTCTCTGGCAACTAGCTGCTTGTTCTCTTTATATATGAGTCTGCTTCCCATTTGTTTTATTTTTGGATTCCACGTACAAGTGAGATCATACAGTATTTGTTTTTGTCCGCCTCATTTTGCTAAGCATAGTACCCACTTGGTCCACCCACGATGTCCCAAATGGCAAGACTTCATTTTACAATGGTTGAGTAATGTTCCACATATCTTGTACCTTCTTTATCCACTCATCTGTCAACAGATACTTAAGTTGCTTCCACATATGCTTGCTTGGCTACTCTGAATAACCAATGCTGCAGTGAATACTGGGGGTGCATGTACTTTTTCAAAATAGTGTTTTGTTTTCTTAGAGTAATTATCCTGAAGTGAAATTTCTGGGTCACACAGTTCTATTTTTAATTTTTTGATGAACCTCCATACTATTTTCCATAGTGGCTGCACCAATTTACATTCTGAATGTGTCCCAACAGTGCAAGAGGGGTTTCCCTTTTCTCTGCATCTTTTCCAACACTTGGCTTCCCTAGTGGCTCAAATGGTAAAGATCTGCCTGCAATGCAGGATACCCAGGTCTGATCCCTGGGTCAGGAAGATCCCCCGGAGAAGGGAATGGCAACCCACTCCAGTGCTCTTGCCTGGAGAATCTCATGGACAGAGGAGTTTGGCAAGCTACAGCTCATGGGGTTGCAAAAAAAGAATCAAATGTGACTGAGCAACTAACACTTTCCAACACTTGTTATTTGCTGTCATTGTGATGATGGCCATTCTGACCAGCGTGAGGTGGTTATCTTGCTGTGGTTTGGCTTTGCATTTCACTGACAACAGTGATGTTGAGTATCTTTTCATGTATCTGTAGGTCTTTGGAAAAACATCTGTTCAGGTCCTCTGCCCACTTTTTAATCAGGTTGCTTGTTTCACTGATGTTGAACTGTATGCATTCTTTATATAATTTTGGATATGAACCCTTTATCAAATATATGATTTTCAAATATCTTCTCCCATGCTATATACCTGAAATTAATATGTTGCATATCATTTATATCTTTATTTTAAAAAAAAGAATTTGAGAGGTAGCTCTGTTGCACAGATGTTTATCTACAGATTACAGCACTATCTTTTATGAAATCTTCTTTTGAACCACAGGTCTTCGTTTCTCCTAAATAGCTAGTGTTATATTGTTCCATAATAACTTACTAAAATTTCCTAATTAAAAATATCCGGGTGTATATACACACACAAACACACACACATATATGTATTCTTATATATTACATATGCCTTAAACATTCTTACTACTTATAGTAGCTTCCTAATCATTAGATTTATTATTATAACACATAGTTGTGGATTCTGTACATGGGTATACGGGGGAGTCCAGCTAAAGTTACTTCAAACTCGTCTTCAGTCTTGGAACCCAGGATTCTTCTTCCCCAGTTCATTTCTGAAGTGCTATCTGTATTTATTTTTCTTGCTCATTCTTTTCATAATTCAATCTCTAAAGAGACTGTTCTCTGTTGCTTATTATTTGTTCTCTTAGTGTTGTTTATTCTGAAAGCTTTTTACTTGGGAAGAGAATGAGAAAACTCAGTCTCCACAAATTACAGGTACATTTTCTAATCTACTTTGTACTTTATCTAATCTATTAGATAAAAGTGTACTTCATCCACTTTTTCTAATCCACAGGTACTTCATCTATTAGATAACAAATGGTATAAATGCTCTCTCTTAATCCCTATGCAAAGCCATTTACATGGTTGTGTGCAACACTAAAAATTTTCTTCATCCTTTACTTATATTTTCTATTTTCATCCATTTTTATATATTAAAACTCTCACTATAAAAACTATTTTTCTTATCCCTTAATATTACTTGAAGTCATTAAAATAATATACCATTTTAACTGTTACAAAATATTTTAACTCCTTTGGAAGCTACTAAAATAGTGTTAGGTTGAAACACATTATTAATCTTACATTTACGCAAATTCTACAGTGGAAAAAAGTATGAAAAACTAGTTGCAGAAATACTTCAGAATTTTTGCTGACCAGTTATTTTATACCCAAAATTACAGCGAAAAGAGGTCATAAGACAATGATAGCTTACCTTGAAATGGGATCTTAATATACTTTGTTGTGAACTAAAGAAAAAACAAAAAAGCAAAACAGGAGTTACCACTTGAAATGTGTTACTACTCAAATTTTTCAAAAAATTTTTCTTCTTTAAACCACAAGTAGGTAATCAAAGTCTATGTACTAAAAGTCATAAGTCTTTTCCTCAATAAACTAAGAAGATATTTCACTGTAAAGACTTAGTTTTACGGTAGTTTAAGAACTCTGTGCAAGGAATTTAATTTTCAATATGCTCATTTATAAAACCAGTAAGACTATACTTAGTATATTTTCAAAATGTTTCCAGAATATTTAAGGAAGAAATAAGATAAAGTCCAAAAGAAACTACCAAGAGACCTCAGAGTATCAATTATTTTGGTTAATTAACTACAAAGCAGAATTTGATTCTTATCTTTGCTGACATTCCCAGCATTCATTTTTCTTTGTTTCATGTTTCATGTTATAAATTTCCTGCTGACTGAGGATTCAGCAAGGTTCCTGCTCATTCCACTACATCTGTGCCAAGACACTAAATTTTCTCTAGGTATCTTTTGTATATATCTGATCTCCTTAATTGTTGATTTTATAATAAACTTTCAAGAGTTGTGGAGCACCTAAATCTTACGTGTACCATCTAACATAGAGGTCCCTTTAAGTCTGTCAAATTAATTCATGCCTATTGATTTGTTACTTGGTTAGGTTTCCCTTTTGATCAATACATTTGTGAAACTGTTGACCAAATCAGGGATATAGTCTGTGAGCAGAAAACAAAATTAAAAATGGTCTTGGTACAGGGGTACCTAAATTAACTACCAACAAAGTTCCAAATAAGTAGCAAACAGTGCTTGGTGAAACCACAGGTTTACTATGAGTCTTATTTTTTTCTAATTTAAAATTCTTTTCAAGCTGTAGTTTCCCAAATATAAAACTCACATATCATAGTATAAGTTAGCCACTAAAGCAAAATTTGAGGAAAAGGACAAATGGGGTTCAAATGTTGCCTCTCTTATCCCTACTACTTTTTATAAACAATAATTAGGTAAACTTAGGCAATTTACTGAACCTCTCAGCTTTAGGTCAGAACCTTAACCAAGAGGAGCTATTATCATTAGACTCTAGCATCTGATTCGGTATGTTAGCTAGTCTAATATAGTCAAATACATCTTATTACTATGTCACTTTCCTATAACTGCTGTATATTTCGTGTATATACCCCTTGCTAAATTCTTTCTGACATATTTCACTGGGTCGTTAATCTCCTAAAATATATCTTAGCAACTGTAAACAATGAGCTATAGAAAATGAAAATAAGAAGTGTTTGCTATTAAGATTTTACAGTCATTACTATGAAATTATGAATTAGAAGTACTGCATCTATATATCTAGCTGCTGCTTTCTAGATTATTGTTTCATTCTCCCACCATAAACAACCTTGTTCTATCAAAACTTTCAACTTGGCAATAATTACATACTCATTTTGCCTTTTTTGATGACTAAGCCAATATGCAACCTCCCCAAAGCCAAAGCCCTGTATGCAGCAAAAAACGGAATCCCTAGTTAAGAAATCAGAAAGATGTTTTCGTGGCAATAAGGTAACCCCAAGTTCTCTGAAATCATACTATATCTTTTTTTTTCCATTTATTTTTATTAGTTGGAGGCTTATACTATATCTATTTAAACTTAAAAATAAAGCTGAACATAAGAGATTTTTTTGTAACTTCTAACAACAGCCAGTAGTTTTTTTTAATATAATACACACTTAATAAACATTTTTCCTATTATTAACAAAGTTAAGACCTAAAAAATTAAATGTGCAGCATTTTCTACTGCAGCATTCTCAACACTAAAAAAGAAAAAAAAAAAAAAGGCAATAATAACTTAAATGTACCACTCTAAAATAATGGCTCTAACTTATATAAGAGTTTCCCACTACAGGTATTTCTCCAGTGCAGCTCAACTGTAACTGTCATGACAGAGAACAGTATTTCCAGTGTCCATAACAATACCCAGCAGATACTCACTAAAGATTTGGAAAATGACTAAGTTTAATTCTCTAATATACTATCCCCTCTCCAATAGTAAGAAGGTCTTTACCTATAAGTTATATAGAGTATGATAAACTCTGTCTGAACAAGAATATATATTAAGTCTTATGAAAAGCTTGAAACTTTTAAGACTTTTACCCTTTTCCTGTTTTATGTTACTCATTATATTTTTCAGCTTTAAAACTTCCTACAATCCCTCCATAGTAACATAACTGTTTTAATTTTTGAAGAATTCCTCTCAACCTTTCTTCACACACATATATTTTACCTGCATATATTTACTTTAATTTACAAAACCACATTCCTATAATCAGACATTTAAGATTTTTTGTTTTAATTAAAGTCTGCATTCCGATAGACATGAGACAGATTTTTAAGACCTGCTTATGACATTTATTGAATATCTGCAGTCCTATATTACTTGTAATAGCAAAACACTGGGGACACCGGCAATGTCCAACAGTCAGGAATTCAGGACAATCCAACTATTCCAAAATAGATAGGTGAATTAATTTAATGTGATCATGGTAAGTCAGAAAACAGTATGCAGAATGGCCTACTCTGGTGGCTCAGCGGTAAAGAATCCGCCTGCCAGTGCAGGAGATGCAGGTTCAGCCCCTGAGTCAAGAAGAGCCCCTGGAGAAGGAAATGGCAACCCACTCCAGTATTCTTCCCTGCGAAACCCCATGGGCAGAGGAGTCTGGCTGGCTACAGTCCATGGGGTCACAAAAGAATCAACTAAACAACAATATATAATGCTACATCCTTTGGTTTTAAATATATATAGTGAGTATGAAGAATACAGAATGATGTAGAATTAATAATAGTTATCTCTGGATAAGCAAGATTACAGGTACTCTTCAAATTGTTCCTTATTCATTTGTGGGCTTCCCTAGTGGGTCAGTGGGTAAAGAATCCGCCCGCAAGGTGAGAGACCGGGGTTTGATCCCTGGTTTGGGAAGATTCCCTGGAGAAAGGAAAGGCTGCCCACTCCAGTAGTCTGGCCTATACAATTCCATGGACTGTACAGTCCATGGGGTGGCAAAGAGTTGGACACGACTGAGCGACTCACTTTATTCATTTGTAGTTTTTTGTTTGGTTTTGATTTTTGCCCATAATAAGTCTACCTGAGTATATAACAGCATAATTAATACATTAATTAATGAAAACCCACTAAGGAATATTTATATTAAATAATCCTCCCTTAGCTAATCAGTTACTATAACATATTTAGGTTACCCAATTTTTGGCCATTACAAAGAATTCTACAGAAAAAAACTGGTCAAACCTGAATTTTAAATGAAAAAGCTAAAAAGTAGGGGGGAAAATTAAGAAAAAGTGAACAAAATTTCTTAAAGTAATTTAAAAAATCATCTTAGGCATAACAAAAGCATTAATATCTGAAAATCAGTGATCAGAGAAGAGACATTTTACACAGAATTGCTGTAATGCTTTCAATCAAAGCAATTTTAACTGTATCATAAGCTACCATGATGGGTACTTCCCAGAACTGGTGCGCGTTTACTCTGCTGGGATAATAGAGTGCCTGGTACTGGTTGCCAAGCAAACATCGGCTTCATGCCTTAAATCATATGCTGTCCTCCCTGTGACATGTTCCCTGACTGCTCCAGGCAGAGGAGAGCAGAGATCATGTCTTAGCATTTTTATATTCCCTGCCCTATCTACAACACAGCGAGACACTGATAAACCTTCTAGGAAAATACTCGAATTATAATTTGATATGGTCAATTCAACTAATGTTTAGAAGTGCCTATTTAAATGTGAGCTATTTATGTAAAGTATAAGAGGAAGTAAAAGTATGGCTCTTCATCACAAGATGCTTAAAGTCTAATAGAGAGATCTAGGCAAGAATACAAACAAAAACACAAAGAATAAATCTTACAACAGATGTACAAACTGCTGTAAGTACACAGTAAAAGGAGAAGTTAATTCTGGTTAGGAAGAAGAAATCAGGAGAGGTTTTCTGGAAGAGGAGGTATTTCAAGATAAGCCTTAAAATAATTTAACAGGCAGAAAAGCAGTGAGAAAATAAAGAGAACTGAGCAAAATCCAGTATGGCGTTCACATAAAATGTGAGGCATTAATACTGAAAAAAAAAGTGGAAAAATAAGAGGAACTATTCCTGGATATCCTTAAATAACAAGTTTAGGAATTTGGAGAACTCTGTTGTCGTTCAAACACTCAGTCACATCCGACTCTTTGCGACCCCATAGACTGCAGCGTGCCAGGCTTCCCTCTCCTTCACCATCTCCCAGAGCTTACTCAAACTTACGTCCACGGAGTTGGTGATGCCATCCAACCATCTCTTCCTCTGTCGTCCCCTTCTCCTCCTGTCTTCAATCTTTCCCAGCACTAGGGTCTTTTCTAATGAGTCAGTTCTTTGCATCAGGGGGCCAAAGTACTGAAGCTTCAGCTTCAACATCAGTCCTTCCAATGAATATTCAGGATTGATTTCCTTTAGAATTGACCGGTTTGATCTCCTTGCAGTCCAAAGGACTCTCAAGAGTCTTCTCAATACCACAGTTCAAAAGCATCAGTTCTTCAGCACTTAGCCTTCAGCACTCAAATCCATACGTGACTACTGGAAAAACCATAGTTTTGACTATATGGACCTTTGTTGACAAAGCAATGTCTGTCTTTTAATATGCTGTCTAGGTTTGTCATAGCTTTTCTTCCAACATTCAAGCATCTTTCTATTTCATGGCTGCAGCCACCATCTGCAGTGATTTTGGAGCCCCATAAAATAAAGTCTCTCACTGTTTCCACTGTTTCCCCATCTATTTGCCATGAAGTGATGGGACCAGATGCCATGATCTTAGTTTTTTTAATGCTGAATTGCAAACCAGCTTTTTCACTCTCCTCTTTCACCTTCATCAAGAGGCTCTTTAATTCCTCTTCACTTTCTGCCATAAGGGTGGTGTCATCTACATATGTGAGGTTATTGATATTTCTCGCAGCAATCTTGATTCCAATTTTGATCCCGGCAGCTTGAATCCGGAAGATTCTTGCTTCATCCAGCCCTGTATTTCGCAGGGGAGCCGGGAGGGCTGCAGTCCACGGGGCCGCAAAGAGTCAGACACAACTAAGCAACTAAGCAAAGCACAGCACTCTGCACATAAGTTAATAAGCAGGTGACAATACGCAGCCTTGACGGACTCCTTTCCCGATTTGGAAGCAGTCTGTTGTTCCAAGTCCGGTTCTAACTGCTGCTTCCTGACCTGCATACAGGCTTCTCAGGAGGCAGGTCAGGTGGTCTGGTATTTCCATCCCCTTAAGAATTTTCCACATTTGTTGTGATCCACACAGTCAAAGGCTTTAGCAGAGTCAATAGAGCAGAAGTCAATGTTTCTCTGCAATTCTTTTGCTTTTTCTATGACCCAACAGATGTTGGTAATTTGATCTCTGGTTCCTCTGCCTTTTCTAAATCCAGCTTGAACATCTGGAAGTTCTCAGTTCACGCACTGTTGAAGCCTAGCTTGGAGGATTTTGAGCATTTCTTTGCTAGTATGTAAAATTAAAGCAATTGTGCAGTAATTTGAACAATCTTTGGCATTGCCCTTCTTTGGCATTGGAATGAAAAATTATCTTTTTTAGTCCTGTGGCCACTGCTAAGTTTTCCAAATTTACAATAATTTAAACTCAGTTTACAGTAATTTAAATTAATAAAATAAGATTCACTCTTTTTGCTATCAATTATACTCCAAAGAAATACTTACTTTACCATCAAGTAAGTTTTAGAACCCAAAGAATATCAGTGCTGCACATGATTCTTTTCATACAGAATCTTCATTAGAGAAGTCAGATTAGAGAGATGATTTTAGGGCATTCCTCTATGATTTCAAGATTTCCTATTCAAAGATATGTTTCAAAACAGATATAATGACATATTCAAAATGTTCTATATAAAATTAATATCAATTCCATTTTAATTTGCACTAAAGAGGCAATCTGAAAATTGACCTTGCCCAAGAAGCAAAACTAAAGAAAAAAAATATATACTTACTGTAACACAACCTTTAGAAGCTCCTTTTATTTTACCAATATAAACAGAAGTAAATATAAAATCCAGTTGTAGATCCATCTCATTTTTAGGTATAAGACAGGAAATGTTTTCCATGACAGGATTATATGTACATAATTCAGATGAAGTCTAACAATGAAAAAATTATAAAGTGCATGTAATGCTAAGTATTATATAAATGTTGACAATGCTTTTTAAAGTCAAATACTTCTTTAAATTATCATTAATGAGTTTGTGAAGGATTCTACACTGTTCTTACTGTCAAGAAACAGTTATCTAGATTTTTCGCTTAAAAAGTATATGATTTACTTTGAGAAAATTACTCTAGTTGAATCCTAAATTAATTCCACAGGACCTACAATGCAGAAATACATCCTTCTCTGTATCAAATTCATGATTTCAAATTCAGTATTCCCTAATGGACTTTACTTATTTTTAACTCAATAAAAATAAATTAAGATTTATATAATGCTTAGTTTAACATGAGCTTTTAAATATCTCTTCTAGTCACCACAACAACCCGATAGGACAAGTTATTTTTTCTTTATGCATTTCATAAGTAGAGCTAAGAGATGTTTGGACTGGTTAAGTGACTTGCTTAAAATAACACTGCTAGTAAGAAGCAAAACTAAAACAAATCAGCTTTCTATCTGCAGGTCAAGGGATATTTCAAGCATATAAAATTGCTTCTATAAACCAAGAAGATGCTCTTAGCTATTGCATTCTTAGTGCACAAGAAGGGATATAACTGCCTAAGAAGTGCTGATACATCAAATCTATATGATTTACTATGTGCACTGTCTCAGAAATCTCAAAAATCATACCACTTCTGCTCAAAAAATTCACAACTCTGCTTTTAAGTTATAATAGACTACCAGGCAGTATCAATAACAGCAATTTCCCATGATCTCTTCTGAGTTCTACAATGCTTTCAGATGACTTTTTCAACTCCATATTTGCCTAGCTGTTGCACATTATGCCTCTTTAACTTTAACATCACTAATGACCAAATAAACCACTACTAGAGCAATTATGCATGGGTATTCACTCTCCTACCTCTAGAAAATGCTGATTAATCTTCACCTCAAACATGCACACTACTCATTATTTTTAATAATGAGTAATGGCTCATGATGCCATTTATCTTTTTTTTTTAATCATTCTCATTTTTCATTGCTTACTGTACTCTTCTTATCCCTTAAGCAAAAAAGGGGGAATCTAATCAACGACAGATGGTTCTAATTAGTCAAATAACTATGTGTTTTAAGTGATAATTGAGAAGATGAGTTCTAAAGAATTCCTTATTCGGTGTCACAATTGGTAAAGACTAACTGCCTTTTAAAAATGGTCAATCCATGTTTCTAACAGTTTCATTTAAAACTGGAAACAAGGAAGGGTGCAGAGGTATATTCTGCCTTACAGATCTTGGTAGATCTCTATGTTATTTGCTGCTTGGCTGTGATCATATGTTGTCAGCTCTACAAGGGATGTAATTTTCATTTAACATGATCATTTCATACTGCACTGTCAATTTACATGCTGCCAAGGGAATTGCAATTCATTTAGAATTTTGAGCACATTATCAATACTGTTTTAATTACAAATACAGCTAAGCTATCAAGTAGGCTGCTGGCCCAGTTGGGCAACAATTGCTACATTTTAACAAAAATTCAGAACACAATTGCTGAGGTGATTTCTGTATGAAGTAACAAATGCAACAGAAACACCCATGAAACAATAATCAACCTATCAGACTGTTTTCATTGAACTGACCAAATTCTTCACCACACTCTACAGAATAACAGCCTTCGAATTATTCAAAAACAACTAACAGAAGTTAACCATTTCTGCACTGGTAGTGACTGACTATCATTTCTTTAAAACAGGAAAATCAGAAGCTGATAATATGAATGAATACTGACAATAAATAACTTGAACCTTACTTTAGAGCTATACTCTTCTAAGACGTATGTCAAAAACACCACTGGCTGACATTAAACCAACACACACTTCCACTTCTGTAAGAAGGAAGAGACAAAGGACTTATCAAACTGATAGGTTCGTGACACTTTTCTAAATGCTTTCATATGTTGTTTAATACTCAAAATAATCTTGTGAAATAGGTGTTATCATTCTCATTTAGTATATAAGGAAACAGGCTTAAAGAAGTTAAGAGACTTGTCCAAATGGCAGATCCAAGATCTGAACAGAGCTCTGAATATCTCAAGAAGTCAGGTTCTTTCCTCTCCCTCATGCTGTTTTAATAGCATGTGAGGAAAAGAAATAATTCCAAGTAGCCCTTGTACTACAAGACTACACAAATACTAGAAAACATTTCATTCTAGAAAATGTTTTGATAAAGTACTTAAATGTCCAATGAGAACCCAAAAGAGAATATTTGAGTCAGAATATTTAGATTGAAAAAATAAAAATGACCAAAAGAAAAATGACATTAAGCCTTTCACTTCAAAATAAAGACAATTATATGCTTCCCTCAAACTAATACAAAAGTTGTCTCAGAATTTAAACTAAGAAATATGTAATTTTTACACAATATTCTGCTTGATGAAACAAAAAAAAAATAGTAATTAGCCAATAGTGTATATTTCACTGTTAATCTGTGAGAAGACAGAAATAAATTACCTGTACAGACTCACAAGTAATCAATGGTAGTTCTGACACTACTGGTTCAGAAGTACTCTCACTTTCATGAGAGATGGCATCATCCTGCTTAGGCTGTAATTTAAGAATTTCTGAACTTTTATGTTCAGTGGGTCCTTCTTCATCACTAGAAACAACAACTAAAATGGAAAAATGTATTTTTTTTAAATGTGTCACAATAATCACGTATAAAAAGAGAATTTTCTAATTCACACAATATATCTTTAATAATTCCACTGAACTGAATAATCTAACTTTATTTAGTTTAGAAAGTAGCCCATCATTCATTATCTGATTTATGCTAGTGGCATACAATGTTTTCACATGAGTGCTATTATTTAGCAGTTATCTGCAACCTTACTCTCTGGAGGAAGAAGGTATTTCAAAATAGATAAAGCCATTAGGAGAACTTAGGAACAGATTCTAGTTCTAATAATGTATTAATGTCATCATTCTAAATTGTACTCTAAGTCCTGTTACATTAGTTTCTTCTAGGAGGAGGAAATGAATGGCTAAGGAAAAATGTGGGAGACTAGTCAATAGATATCCTTTAGAACCTTTTTTGTACCATGTGACTGTATCAAATACTTGAAAATTAAAATCAAAATTAATGACAATAAATAAATAGCACTTAAACTCTCTGTACTTCAGCTTAACAAATCAAAATGACAATAATGGTCCTTAAAGATTTGTGCAAAAAAAAAAAAAAAAACTATTGCTAAGATACTGATGAGTACACTAATAAAAAAAAATTAACTTCTGCTTCCAAGTGCTCCATTTCTTACCCAAATCAATACTACAAAATTAATGACATCCCGAAACCACAAGTTTTTTTTTTTTCCTGAAGGTAATATATTCCACACAGATGTAATAAACAACACGGTGCCTCAGCAGAATTTCTTCGACAGAAGAAATAAAACAACTAAGCAGAGTAGAGAAAATGAATAGCTTTTATCACCCCCAAGTTACTTACTTGGTTCAGCAGAGATAAATGATGGGTTCCCTTCACTGTGTTCACTTAAAACAGGTTTTTCTACTGTGTTCGATTCATTCTCATCCTTCACAACTAGAGTAGAATTCCCCACAGTATCAGAGGAAATAGAGCTCTCAAAAGTCTCCATGGTTGAACAGTCAGAGCGCATGTGAGGAGAAGCACTCAAAGCCAACTCCTGATCACAAAGCGAGGGTAGCTGAGCAAAATCACTTTCTATGGATTCGTGTGTAACTTCTTCAAACAGTTTTGGATCCTCATGATAGTTTTCACTTGACTTTTCCAACGCAGTGAATACCTCTGGGTCATTTTCTTGTTCTTTCTGAACATAAATAAATGAATACAAAAATCAGCACTTTTCAAATTTGGCTAACATGAACAACCTTTTTTAAGCTTAAACCCCCATAAAGGTAAAAATACTATATCATTTCTATAACTATTGGAATAGAAAAGTACACAATTACACTACATTACTCTTGCCAAAGTCTCTCAAGTATTAATATAAAGATATAAAACTTGGGTCTGTCCAATCAGATGCCTAAATATTTTTTAAAAGGATGGGAAGGGGAAACTCCCTTATTTACAAGTGGTTCAGAAGTCTCCCACAATCTAAGTCAACTTTAAATAAGAGAAAAAATTATTACAGCTTTATTTTGCAAAAGAGGCCATTTGACATTGTGTGACTTTAGCTACAAAAGCAAAAAAATTAAAAACTTAGGATAACAATATGAAAAATTATGAAAATCAATTACTGCCTTCATATGTCTCAGTTCAGTTCAGTTGCTCAGTCGTGTCCGACTCTTTGTGACCTCATGGACTGCAGCACGTCAGGCCTCCCTGCCCATCACCAACTCCTAGAGTCTACTCAAACACATGGCCATTGAGTCGGTGATGCCATTCAACCATCTCATCTTCTGTTGTCCCCTTTTCCTCCCACCTTCAATATTTCCCAACATCAGGGTCTTTTCAAATGAGTCAGTTCTTCACATTAGGTGGCCAAAGTACTGGAGTTTCAGCTTCCACATCAGTCCTTCCAATGAATACTCAGGACCAATTTCCTTTAGGATGGACTGGTTGGATCTCCTTGCTGTCCAAGGGACTCTCAAGAGTCTTCTCCAACACCACAGTTCAAAAGCATCAATTCTTCGGTGCTCAGCCTTCTTTATAGTCCAACTCTCACATCTCTATTACCATATAAATCTAAATCATGTTTATAACTCAAAGGCACTACAAAGTCCTGAAATGCCTTGTGAATCAAAGGACTCAAAAAGCTATCTCCAACAAAAAAAAAGCTATCTCCTTACACTTTTATTGTTAACTGTATACTAAGTTTTTGAAACTAAGTAATGTACACATTAAGTATTATAACTCCTACAACAGATTTCCTAAACTCTGGAAAAAGAGACGTCTATAGAAACTGGAAGTAAATTACTACTGATAAAATAGTCTGGTAATAATTTCACAGACCAAGTGAAATAGCAGTTGGCTAGACAGTATGACTATTATATGGTTAAAATAAGGCAGAGAGAAGAAATAGGTCTGTAGGATATACAACAAACCACTAAGTAAAGGCTGGTATCAGAGGAGAAATAATTTAAACCTTTTTATTTGTTCATAATACAGTTAGCCCTCTATGTGTGCAGGTTCCACCAACTATGGGTTCCACCAACTGCAAATGGAAAATATTTCTGGAAAAATAATTCTAGAGATTTACAAAAGGCAAAACTTGAATTTGTCATGCACAGGCCACTATTTACAGAGCATTTACATTTTTTCACATCCATTTACAATGTATTAGTTGGCAAGCAGTCTAGACATGATTTAAAATATACAGCAAGGTGCAGATTATATGCAAATATTATACCATTTAATATAAAAGATTTCATTTAAGCATCTATGGATTTGGTATGTCCAAGGTCCTGGAACTAACTGTAGATACTCAGTGATGACTGTATTTGAAATTTGATCCCATAACTGTATTACTGCAAGAAAAATAAAGTTGCATTTAAAGTATTTAAAAAAAAAAACAGAATCAAAAAAATAGGCAAAGAAAAAAGTCTTGATGATGAAAACAGAAAGCTAGGAGAACATTATTTGGTCACAGTCAATTCATTTTTATCATAGGACAAATTATTTCATATGACATCTAAACACCTCTACTTACTGTCTGTTCTGCTGACTTATACAGAGAAGTAGGATTATGAGAATCAGGCAAATTACTTCTAAGCCTTTTCTTTCTCTTCCTGGAAATCAGAGTGGGTTCCACTCTTGAAACAGAATTTGTATCATCCTTGTTTCCACTCCCCTCTTCAAGATGGTCACAATCTCTACTTCCACTACTGAGGTCTAAAAAACAAGAGACATTTTTGGTCAAAAAGTACAGAAAGGATCCTCTTCAGAAGAGCTCAAAGAAAATCATCAAAATTGCTAAACTACTTTCAGAGCTTGTTTTTTAAACTCCACTGTTAAATAAGCATACCAACATGGATAAACATAAAGACACATCCCATTTTAAACTGCATTCACAAAGCAAATGTTCATTGTACAAAAAATATGATAAAGGAAATATATTAAAAGGTAGTATTAGTAACCAAAGCAAAGCAACCAAACCATATTTTCCTTTTGCTACAATTGCATTTGACTATGATTTTAAAAAAAGTCTTAATAAAATTTTGAAAAGTATTTGCTTTTTGAAAAGTATTGCTTTTTTTTCAGACATATCTTAAATGAACTAATATTTCGGATAGCATAAGAAGTTTTGGCATTTGCAGCCTTTTTCACAGGTGGCCTGAGTGAGTGGGTTATATTGCATTTGGAGAGAAAGGCCAGATTCCCAGAATTGGAAAATGGCACATGGACTGGTTTTAGAATATTTTAACAAGGGCTTGTCTTAGGGAGAGTCCGTTTGGACACAGAAGTATTGTCTGGTCTCCTAGTATTGTCTTACTCTTCATAGAATGATTCTTAGAAAACGAGATTCAATCAGAGCAGTGTTATTTTGAAAGCATATGAATTGGATCATCGTCATGGAGTACCTAATGCTATGTTGTAACCAGAGACACTTTTGGAGACCCATGGGGTGGCTAAAAGGTGTGGATGCCTTGTGACTCTTAGGCTAAAGTCTTCTCTTAAGCAATTTCTATGGATAATAGAATTGGAGTTGATTTTAGTTTTTATTGAAACACACACGGAGTAAGTTCTTGACTAGAAGCATGTTCAGTACTTAATGTTACTAATCAGATTATAGGAGGGGCCTGTTTTAATTTTATGAGGTCCATGAATGCTGCATTATGAATCCATTTGAATTACTGGTATCATTCTGTATCAGACTTAGTTTAGTAAATTCTAATTAAGACTGCCCACAATGTGAACATTTTTGGGTAGGTTATTTTGTTTAAATAACTTATCCCACTAGAGCAGCTATTCAGAAGACAAAGACCCAGCTACAGGTAATTGTTTGCTTTTTCTGGAATGCGCCAAAAAAGCAGAATTCAGTATTAAAGTCCAAATTTCAGGGTTTGTTTTTTTTTAAGTATTATTTCCTCTGGGTAAAGTGGAAGGCGGTGAACAGTTGCTGAGGTGTAAACTCCTTTCGACCTGCATTCTCCCTTTCCCCTCCCCCATCTAACAGAATAGATTAAATTTGTAGCCAATGGTAGGAAAAGAAATCGATACTTTTCTGAGTAAGGTTTCATGCCCTGTGACTAAGAATAGGTGGCGGGAATCACGGCCAAATCAATTATTGATTTGTTTAGCCTGGTCCTGTTGCAGTTTGCTTTCTGTAGTATTCTGAAACAGAAGGATGATTTCCATCCCCTCAGATACCTAGAAACAATACCACTTTAGTAACTGGAATGTGTGCTACAAGTGGAATATGTGAGAGAAGAAGTTGAAAGGAACACAATTTTCCCTTTCAAATAGTTTAATTGAACATGTTTGTAATTGGTCTGCCTAGGACTTGCCCGTGTTTGTAGCAAATAACATAGCATTTATTTTATCTGGCTATGTGTGGTGTGTGTATGCCTACATATTTAATATGTACACATATATTTTCTGTGCATATATATGTATGGTGTATTCACATGTACGCACAGTCTACTCTTGATTATCAGCAAGATAATAAGCCCTCACCAGACTCTTTCTTCATGTTGACTTCATCTGCATGTGCCCTGTAACTCTGAGAAGCCTGTTCCTCATCTGCATCTGCAGGCTTTCCTACTTGCCGTTCATCTTAGTCCCCAAGAAAGGCCTCAGCATATGTCACTTTCTGCTTCCCTTTCACCAGGGACTGTGTGAGTCAGAAAACTTGTGAGAAGATGGCTGCTTCTACCAGAGTTGAGGCTTCCAGGGTTTGAATGACGGTGGGCCCATTCCTGGCCAGAAGGTGGTGGCTGGAGCAGGTGCGCTCTTGGGCTTGATGGGGGAAGACTAGCTCTTGTGGGAAATGGGATGTCACAACTCGCTTAACTTCCTTAGCTGGAATGTTGCGAGGCCTTACGTAATCTGATGTGTAAACAGGGTGCAGGTGTGCATTTCAGCATTCCTTGTGTGTCATCGGTGTTCCTGGTCGACACTGCTCGCTCAGATAATCAACACCTGGCTGTTTCCTGCCACTGGATTCTGGAAGCCTTGCTCTCTCAGCTGAGTTTATGTTTTATTTCTGCTGCTGTGAAACCCAAAAGTAATGCAGTAGGTCTTAATTTAAATTGTTTTAACTCTATTATTGATAAATATTTATTGCAATAAAAGAGTAAATGGTTTTTTTAAGGAAAAAAGAAATTACAACTAATTTAGACACTGGTTTTCTTTTTTAAATGTTAAGGTTTAATGCGTATTATTTTGTAACTGAAAAGGGACAATAATTTGAAACAGCAGAGTACCGATCACTGCTCTCTTAAAAGAAGCCAAACTACCTCTCCTCAGCAGACAGCTGTGGCATGTAACCATTCATAAGGCGATCAGTTACTTTCACAGTTTCCTTTTTGTTTTAATCAAGACCCTTTAATTTTAAATCTCCAATATATCTGTGACCCTACAGAAAAGGAGGGGCTTCCCTGGTTGGCTCAGATGGTAAAGAATCTGCCTGCAATGCAGGAGACCCGGGCTCAAGCCCTGGGACGGGAAGATCCCCTGGAGAAGGAAATGGCACCCCACTCCAGCATTCTTGCCTGGAAAATTCCAATGACAGAGGAGCCTGGCAGGCTACAGCCCATGGGGTTGCAGAGTCGGACATGACTGAGCGACTAACACATCACATATCACAGAAAAGGAAGTACTCCCTTTTTTAAGTCAATAAAGCATTATTCTGAAATGCATTTCAAGTATTATCAAACACGTTTAGTATTTCAGTTATAAAATATATGTACTATTCAAAAATACATTCCAAAAGGTTCTACCCAACTAAGGTTATCCTAACTAACTGAAGGTTATCCTGAATTATTTTGCTTTCTGAATTATATCATATAAGTCCCAACTCAGATATTATACCATTTTATATTAGAGATTTAAGCATTTATGGATTTGGTATGTCCAGGGTCCTGGAATCCACACAAAGCAAGTCCCAAAGCAGCTTCCTTGAATTCATAAACTTGAACCTATGTAACACTGGCTGTTCTGACCACTCATTTACTCAAAGCTCTTCAACACTACACACTTTCTATTCAAACTATTCTCGCTCTTACTCTAGCTTTATAAACATCTGATGACTAACACTCATAATACTTCTTTCCCACTGCTTAAAAGGCAGGTGTGGGGGCAGGACTGAGGCCAAAAATCAAACCATGAACAGTCTTCCAAATTCCAAAGACAACGCTCTTAACGCTCTCCCCCAGAAAAATAAACTACCCCCAGATTATCAACACAGTATTTCAAAAAGCACAATAAATTTTATTTGCAATTCTGTAAACTGTAATGGTTTTCTTTGTAAACTGTAAACAGTGAAGGACAGGGAAGCCTAAAAGCTGCAGTCCATGGGGTCAGAGTTGGACATGACTGAGCAACTGAAGGACAAAAACTATAAAGATAGTCAAATATAATTTCTACATATAATACTGGATCAAGCTATAATTTTGAAAAACAAATACTATAGCAAATGAAACTGATGCGGGATTAGCTCAAGATGGCACAGTAGTAGGACCTCCTTTCGAAAACATCAAAATCACCACTGAACAACCATCAACAAAGAAATGCTCAACTGTACCAAAAAAGGATACCCAGCATCCAAAAACAAAAAGGAGTTCTCAGTGAGATGGTAGGAGGGACACAGTCACAACAAACTGAAGTTTCATATCCACAAGGTGGATGGCTCAAAAGGAGGAAAACAATTTAACCACAGAAGTGCTTCCAACCCTGGGGTCCAGCAACGGAAGGAAGAGTCCCAGAGAATTTAACTATGAAGGCCAGTAGGGTTTGACCACAGGCTTTTCAGAGGACTAGGTGAAACAGAGACTCCACTCTCAAAGTGCGCACACAAAGCCTGTGCAAACCAGAACCCACGGTCAGAAGGCAGTGACTTCATAAAGAGACCGGGCAGGCTTAACCGCGAGTACTGCAGGGCCTACTGGGAGGCGTGGACTCACTGCAAGAGAAAAGGACACTGGCAACAGCAGTTCCGCACGACACTAGACCAGGGGGGCCTAGCTGCTATCCGTAGACCATTCCATCCAAAAGCACAACACATTCTTCTCATGTGCAAATGGAACATTCTTTGCCTTGAACACATGCTGGGCCACAAACACAGCACCAGTAAATTTAAAAACACTAAAATCACATCAAGCATCTTTTCCAACCAAAACACCATGAGACCAGAAAGAAACTACATGAAAAAAAACTAAAAAAACCAAGCACGTAGACGAAATATACTATTAAACAATCAATATAACACTGAAGAAATCAAGTTCAGTTCAGTCACTCAGTCATGTCCGACTCTTTGCAACCCCATGGACTGCAGCATACCAGCTGCCCTGTCCATCACCAACTCCCTGAGCTTGCTCAAACTCGCATAAATCGAGTCAGTGATACCCTCCAGTCATCTCATCTTCTGTCGTCCCCTTCTCCTGCCTTCAATCTTTCACAGCATCAGGGTCTTTGCCATTGAGTCGGCTCTTCGCATTGGATGGCCAAAGTACTGAAGCTTCAGCTTCAGCATCAGTCCTTCCAATGAACATTCAGGACTGATTTCCCTTAGGATTGACTGGTTGGATCTCCTTCCAGTCCAACGGACTCTCAAGAGTCTTCTCCAATACCACAATTCAAAAGCATCAATTCTTCAGTGCTCAACTTTCTTTATGGTCCAACTCTCACATCCATACATGACTACTGGAAAAACCATAGCTCTGACTAGATGG